GGGTGAGGGGAAAAAAGAAAGGCACAAGATACTTCTGGTTGCAGATCGACGAAGGCAAAGCACTGCAAGACTCTCGGCGGTTTCGGTGCCGTTAATAATCTTTGACTTTTTCCAGGAATCTTGTTCTCAGGCATGGGGAAAAGTTTAAAGCTGACCCGCTCCTCCTTTCTTTTTCCTCCTGCAATTTCTCCGCTTGGGATTTTAGAAGAAAAACGAGGATAAGAAGTTGGTCGATAAAACAGGAGAGGAAGAGAGAGGAGGAAGGAGGAGAAGAAGAGGAGGAGGAGGGAAAAAGGAAAGAGAGGAAGACGGAAGAAGAAAAAAAGAAGAAAGGAAGAGGAAGGGGAGAAAGAAGAAGATGAGAGAAGAAAGAAAAAGAGAAGAAGAGGAGAATGAGGAGGATGAGATGAAATGAAGGAAGTTGTGGAAGAAGAAGAAGGAGTAGAAAGAAGAAGAGAAGAAAAAGAGAAAAGAAGGAAGAAACAAAAGAAAAAAAGAAGAAGGAGAAAGAAAGGAGAGAAGAAAACAGAGAGAAAGAGGAGAGAGGGAGGAGAGAAGAAGAGGAAAGGAAGAGGAGGAAGGAGAGGAAGGAAAAGGAATGAGGAGAGAAGGAGGAGGAGGAAAAAAAGAGAGGAGGGAGGAGGAAGGAGGAAGAAAGGAAGAAAAGGAAGAAGAGGAGGTTCCTGGAGAGAAGAGGAAGTGGAGGAAGAGGAGGAGGAGAAGGAGGAAGAAGAAGAAAGAAGAAGGAAGGAGAAGAGGAGGAGAGATTGAGGATTGAGAACTGAGAGAAAAAAGGAAGAGAGAATGTGGAAGAGAAGTAAAGGAAGGGAAAGGAACAAGAAGAAAAGGGAAGAAGAAGAAAGAGAAAGGGAAGTTGAAAGAGAGGAGGAGGAGAATGAGAGAATGAGGAAAAAGGAAGGAGAGAGGAGGAGAAGAGAAGGAAAAAAGGAATGGAAGAGAAGTTGGAGGACGAAGGAATTAGAGCAGAACGAGGAGGAGGAAGAGAAAAAAAAAAAGAGGAAAAGGAAGAGGAGGAAAAGGAAAAAGGAGGAAGGAGAAGGGGAGGAAGAAGAGGAAGGAGGAAGAGGAAGAGAGGAAGGAAGAAGGAAAAAAAGAAGAAAAAGAAGGAAGAATGGAAAGAAATAGAAGAAAAAGAAGGAAGGAGAAGAAAGAAGAAGAAGGAAGAAAAAAGAAGAACATAAAGAAGAAGAAGAAGCCCTTCCTAGTGGAGGAGGAGAGAGAGGGAAGAGGAGGAAGAGGAAAAGTCAGATAATTTCAGGAACTCATCCAGCACTCCTGACCTAAAGGCAGACACCCTAGAAGGGCCATTAGAACAAGCACCCCCTCCTTCTTTAACTGTGTGGTTCTGCAGCAACAACCCCACCCCCCCTAATCAGCTCCCTCCATGTTGTTCTCCGGCGTATTTCTCCAGCTCGGAACTGAACCTGATGGATTTTCCTTTCCAGCAGGAGTTTTTTCAAAACATCCTGGCTTGAATGGACTTCTGCCGGCAGCGTTTTGCTTTGCTTATGAATGGAGCCATCTAGATTGTCAGCTTCCTCTTTCAATGAGCTGGGTTATCTTCCTTAAGTGCCGGCATCTGCTGTGGGCTATGAAGAAAGACTGGGGGGGCTGCTTCCTGCCTCTTAAGAACATGTTTCTCCATTTCTCCTTTGGGAAATATAATATTTTGCCTCTTTTAATATTCCCCAAAATATTTCATTCTTCGTGGGTGGGGGTGGGATTTTCAGAATCGAAACAAGGTTAGATATATTCTCTTCTTCGGATAAAAGAATCAATTTGATTATTCAGCCGGTTCGGGCGAACCGAATGCTAATTTTACATCTGATTCGCCGAACCGGTAGTTGTAAGAACTGGCCGCCCTGCCCACCCTACTCCGGCCCTCCCAGGAGTCTCCACGGCGGCCCGTTTTGGATGCCAGATAGTGCAGGGCCCGCGTGGAGGCTCTGGAAGGGTAAAAAACAGCACTACTAGAAGTTCCGGAAGTCTAGAAATGGGCCTCTGGCGCCCGGGGTAGGCCGTTTTCGCCTTCCCAGAGGCTCAAGAAAAGCCTCCGGTGCTTGGGGAGGACGAAAAATGGGCCTACCAGAATTCCAGAAACAGCCCCATTTCTGGCCTCCGGAGCCCGGGGGAGGCCATTTTCCCTCTCTCCGGAGGCTCTGGAAAAGCCTCCAGAGCCCGGGGAGGGCGAAAATGCCCCCCCCCCATGGTGCAGGAGATTGAGTAAGCCACGCCCACTATGGCCACGCCCCCCAGCAAACCGGTTGCTAAAATTTTTGAATCCCAACCGAATTTGACCCCGTCTGCTTCTCTTTGCTGTGGGCAGCAATACATAACTTCTGTTAACTTCTTAATCATTCATCATAATTTATATTAAGAAAAATCCTATATATTATTTCAACAAAAGAAAATTTAACCGTGAAGGAAAACTTTTTTTTTTTTAGTTTTGATATTTTACTAACTTTAAAAAGTACTCAAGTGTTATATATATTAAATTATATATAAAATATATATATATATATATATATATATATATATATATATATATAATTATAAATCTTATATTGTTATATATATATAAAAGGTTTAAAAACCCAGAACCCAAGACATTAACAATCACGTGATTCAAACAAGGCTGCAGTGCCTCGGGAGACCACTAGGGCAGCCAGATCATGGAAGAAAGCCAAGTTGTTGTTTTTTCCCCCAAGCTCGGGCATTTGAAGAAGCGTGGACTTCAACTCCCAGAATTCTTTGCTTTTTCCTGGCTGGAGAATTCTGGGAGTTGAAGTCCAGGCTTTCTTAAAGTGCCTGAGCTTGGAATTTCTCAAACTGCAGGACCTCGTGGCGCCGGAAGGGGGCGCCAGGCGCTGCAGGAGAGCTCAATCCCATAGTTAGGGGATTCCCCAAGGCCCCACAATTAAAGGGCCAGACCCACCTTTCCTCCCACGGTGGGTGGGCTTGATCCTGGATCAGAAGCCCCCCTTCCATCATTACTTTCCAAGCCTGGGGGGGGAAGGAATGGGGGAATCCCAACCCTGGGAATCCCCCCTCCCCCCAATTTCCAGAAGACCCTTTTTTTGGCTGTCACCCCCCCCCCCAAAGCCCCCTACCCACGACATGCGGGACCCCAAAACGGTTCGATTCCCATGGGGGGGGGGGATGCAGCTTCTTCAATAGAAGGGCAGATCGAGGCTGGGGGGGGGAGAGTGAGGATCCAAGGAGCCCCCCCCAGCCACTATGCCCGGATTTGGGGGATGGGGGGTGAGGGGAAAGGGGGGGAGTCCCTCCTATGCAAACCCCAAGAAACCCACCCACCCACTTTCCATAGGACCCTTTCTGGCTGCCCCCACGCCAAAGCCCCCTTCCCACGACACGCGGGACCCCAAAACAGTCTGGGTGGGATAGGGGGGGGGAATGTGGCTCCCTTAGAAGGGGAGATCGAGGCTGGTGGGGGGGAGGATCAAAGGAGCCCCCTCCCCAGCCGCTATGCCCGGTTTGGGGGGGAGGATGGGGGTGAGGAGAAGGGGGGAGAATGGGGAATCCCTCCTCTGCAAATCCCGGGAAACCCCCCCACCCACTTTCCAGAGGACCCTTTCTGGCTGCCCCCAGGGGCTGAGGGAGGGGCTGGGTGGGGGAGGATCAAAGGAGCCCCCTCCCCAGCTGCTATGCCCGGATTGGGGGAGGGGGTTGTGAGGGGAAGAATGGGGGGGAAATCTCTCCTATGTAAACCCCGGGAAACCCCCCCCCCCACTTTCCAGAGGACCCTTTCTGGCTGCCCCCAGGGGCTGGGGGAGGGCTGGGTGGGGGAGGATCAAAGGAGCCCCCTCCCCAGCTGCTATGCCCGGATTGGGGGAGGGGGGTGTGAGGGGAAGAGTGGGGGGAAATCTCTCCATGTAAACCCCGGGAAAACCCCCCCCCCCACTTTCCAGAGGACCCTTTCTGGCTGCCCCCAGGGGCTGAGGGAGGGGCTGGGTGGGGGAAGATCAAAGGAGCCCCCTCCCCAGCTGCTATGCCCGGATTGGGGGAGGGGGGTTGTGAGGGGAAGAGTGGGGGGGAAATCTCTCCTTGTAAACCCCGGGAAACCCCCCCCCCCCACTTTCCAGAGGACCCTTTCTGGCTGCCCCCAGGGGCTGAGGGAGGGGCTGGGTGGGGGAAGATCAAAGGAGCCCCCTCCCCAGCTGCTATGCCCGGATTGGGGGAGGGGGTTGTGAGGGGAAGAGTGGGGGGGAAATCTCTCCTATGTAAACCCCGGGAAACCCCCCCCCCACTTTCCAGAGGACCCTTTCTGGCTGCCCCCAGGGGCTGGGGGAGGGGCTGGGTGGGGGAGGATCGAAGGAGCCCCCTCCCCAGCCGCTATGCCCGGATTGGGGGGGGGTGTGAGGGGAGGAGTGGGGGGGAAATCTCTCCTATGCAAACCCCGGGAAACTCACCCACCCACTTTCCAGAGGACCCTTTCTGGCTGCCCCCAGGGTTTGGGGGAGGGGCTGGGTGGGGGAGGATCAAAGGAGCCCCCTCCCCAGCCGCTATGCCCTGATGATGTGGGGAGGTGAGGGAAAGAGTGGGGGGGGGAATCTCTCCTCTGCAAAACCCGGGAAACCCACCCACCCACTTTCCAGAGGACCCTTTCTGGCTGCCCGCAGGGGCTGGGGGAAGGGCTGGGTGGGGGAGGATCAAAGGAGCCCCCTCCCCAGCCGCTATGCCCGGATTTGGGGAGGGGGGTTGTGAGGGAAAGAGGGGGGGAAATCTCTCCTATGCAAACCCCGGAAACCCCCCCACCCACTTTCCAGAGGACCCTTTCTGGCTGCCACCCACCTACCCAAAGCCCCCTTCCCACGACACGCGAGACCCCAAAAGGGTCAGGGTGGTGCGTGGGTGGGATAAGAGTGGGTGGGGGGGGGATGCGGCTTCCTTAGAAGGGGAGATCAGGGGAGGGGGAGGGATGGGCTGGGGGAGGATCAAAGAAGCCCCCCCCCTCTTCTCCTCCCGCAGCCGCGATGCCCGGATCTGAGGGGAGCAAAGGGAGGAGTAAAGTACGTCTGAACGCAAATTGCGGGTTGGGCCCCGGCGGAGGAAGAGGCGGTGTCACGTAGCTTCTCTCCCCCCGCCTTTCCCCGGCTGACAAACTTGCCAAAGCCCGGAAGCTCCAGAAGGAAACAAAGTTTCCCAACAGAAAACAGGAGGGTGGGGAAAAAAAAAAAAAAAAGCCTCCAGCGCCCAGCGCAGCCGGCGGACTCCGGAGAAAGGGACGATCGCGAGGCGGGGATGGGCGACTGAAAGGGAGAAGCGGCGCCGAGGAGGAAGAGGGGAGAGGGGGGGGGTGTCGAGGCAACTCGGCCACCCACCCACCTACCCACCCGGCCCGGGGAAGACCCTTGGAAGACCGGCCTCCTTCTCTCCAATCCGGTGGGCGATGGGCGCCCGGCAGCCCCTCCGGGCCGAAAGGAGGGCTCCCCCCTGCCTCGTTCTGGTGGGGCTCCTGCTGGGTGAGAGAGAGAGAGCGAAAGCCCCTCCCCACTTTCCATCTCCCCCCCCCCCCCCCACACTTTCCCTTCGTTTCCTACGATTCTCTTTCATTCTCACGTTCCCCCGGCATTTCCCACGGTCTCCCCCCCGTTGATTTCCCGTGATCCTCCTTGATTTTCCCACTGTCCCCCTTCATTTCCCATAATCCCCCTTGATTTTCTCACTGCCCCCCCTTCGTTCCCCACGGTTCCCCTTCATTCCCCACAATCCCCCTTGATTTCCCACAGTTTCCCCTTGATTTCCCCACCTCCCCCTTGATTTCCCACAATTCCCCTTGATTTTCCCATGTCCCCCTTCATTCCCCATGGTCCCCCCTTGATTTCCCACTGGTCCCCCTTGATTTTCCCTGTCCCCCACTCCCCTTCATTCCCCACAATCCCCCTTCATTCCCCAGGTCCCCCTTGATTTCCCACTGTCCCCCTTCATTCCCCACAATCCCCCTTGATTTCCCACAATTCCCCTTGATTCCCCATGGTCCCCCTTCATTCCCCATGGTCCCCCCTTGATTTCCCACTGTCCCCCTTCATTCCCCACAATCCCCCTTGATTTCCCACAATTCCCCTTGATTTTCTCACTGTCTCCCTTCATTCCCCACAGTTCCCCTTCATTCCCCAGGGTTCCCCCTTGATTTCCCACAGTCTCCCTTGATTTCCCCACCTCCCCCCTTGATTCCACACAATTCCCCTTGATTCCCCCATGGTCCCCCTTCATTCCCCATGGTCCCCCCCTTGATTTCCCACTGTCCCCCTTCATTCCCCACAATCCCCCCTTGATTTCCCACAATTCCCCTTGATTTTCTCACTGTCTCCCTTCATTCCCCACAGTTCCCCTTCATTCCCCAGGGTTCCCCCTTGATTTCCCACAGTCTCCCTTGATTTCTCCACCTCCCCCCTTGATTTCCCACAATTCCGCTTGATTTCCCATGGTCCCCCTTCATTCCCATGGTCCCCCCTTGATTTCCCACTGTCCCCCTTCATTCCCCACAATCCCCCTTGATTTCCCACAATTCCCCTTGATTTTCTCACTGTCTCCCTTCATTCCCCACAGTTCCCCCTTCATTCCCCAGGGTTCCCCTTGATTTCCCCACCTCCCCCTTGATTCCACACATTCCCCTTGATTTCTCCACCTCCCCCTTGATTTCCCACAATCCGCTTGATTTTCCCACTGTCCCCCTTGATTCCCCACAGTTCCCCCCTTGATTTCCCACAATCCCCCTTGATTTTCTCACTGTCTCCCTTCATTCCCACAGTTCCCCTTCATTCCCCAGGGTTCCCCCTTGATTTCCCACAGTCTCCCTTGATTTCTCCACCTCCCCCTTGATTTCCCACAATTCCGCTTGATTTCCCATGGTCCCCCTTCATTCCCCATGGTCCCCCTTGATTTCCCACTGTCCCCCTCATTCCCCACAATCCCCCTTGATTTCCCACAATTCCCCTTGATTTTCTCACTGTCTCCCTTCATTCCCCACAGTTCCCCCTTCATTCCCCAGGGTTTCCCCCTTGATTTCCCCCACCTCCCCCTTGATTCCACACAATTCCCCTTGATTTTCCACCTCCCCCTTGATTTCCCACAATTCCGCTTGATTTCCCATGGTCCCCCTTCATTCCCCATGGTCCCCCCTTGATTTCCCACTGTCCCCCTTCATTCCCCACAATCCCCTTGATTTCCCACAATTCCCCTTGATTTTCTCACTGTCTCCCTTCATTCCCCACAGTTCCCCCTTCATTCCCAGGGTTCCCCCTTGATTTCCCCCACCTCCCCCTTGATTCCACACAATTCCCCTTGATTTCTCCACCTCCCCCTTGATTTCCCACAATTCCGCTTGATTTCCCACTGTCCCCCTTGATTCCCCACAGTTCCCCCTTGATTTCCACAATCCCCTTGATTCCCCACAGTTTCCCTTGATTTCCCCACCTCCCCCTTCATTCCCCACAGTACCCCTTGATTTCCCACAGTTTCCCTTGATTTCCCCACCTCCCCCTTGATTCCCCACAGTGCCCCCTTGATTTCCCATGGTCCCCCTTGATTTCCCATGATCCCCCTTGAATTCCCAAGGTCCCCCTTGATTTCCCACTGTCCCCCTTCATTCCCCACAGTGCCCCCTTGATTTCCCATGATCCCCCTTGATTTTCCCACTGCCCTTCATCCCTACTGTTCCCCCTTGATTTCCCATAATCCCCCTTGATTTTCTCTCACTGTTCCCCTTCATTCCCCATTGTTCCCCCTAGATTTCCCACAATTCCCCTTGATTTTCCCACTGTCCCCCTTGATTCCCCACAGTTTCCCTTGATTTCCCCACCTCCCCCTTGATTTCCCACAATTCCGCTTGATTTTCCCACTGTCCCCCTTGATTCCCCACAGTTCCCCCTTCATTTCCCACAATCCCCCTTGATTTCCCACAGTCTCCCTTGATTTCCCCACCTCCCCCTTCATTCCACACAATTCCCCTTGATTTCTCCACCTCCCCCTTGATTTCCCACAATTCCGCTTGATTTTCCCACTGTCCCCCTTGATTCCCCACAGTTCCCCCTTCATTTCCCACAATCCTCCTTGATTTCCCACAGTTTCCCTTGATTTCCCACCTCCCCCTTGATTCCCCACAGTTCCCCCTTGATTTCCCATGGTCCCCCTTGATTTCCCATGATCCCCCTTGAATTCCCAAGGTCCCCCTTGATTTCCCACTGTCCCCCTTCATTCCCCACAGTGCCCCCTTGATTTCCCATGATCCCCCTTGATTTTCCCACTGCCCCTTCATTCCCTACTGTTCCCCCTTGATCCCATAATCCCCCTTGATTTTCTCACTGTTCCCCTTCATTCCCCATTGTTCCCCCTAGATTTCCCATGATCCCCCTTGAATTCCCAAGGTCCTCCTTCATTTCCCACCAGCCACCCCTCCGTTTCCCAGGGTCCCCCTCATTTTTCCCACGATCCACCACCATTCCCTATGGTCCCCCTTGTTTTCCCACGGTCCCCCTTCATTCCCTACGATCCACCTCCATTCCTCATGGTCCCCCTTGAATTCCCACGGCCCCCCTTCATTCCCCAAAGTTCCCCCTTCATTTCCCACCCTTCCCAGTCCGGTAGGAGTTGTGTAGATCAGCTTTGGGCCAAGGAGGCCACTCGGTTTCCTTTTCTCTTCACCCCCCCCCCCCTTTCCTTCCCTTCGATCAGGGTGGGGTTGCAGAGGATATATAACCTCCCCCCCCCTTTTCCCCTTTCCCCTGGTTCTCCGAAGTAAGCGGCGAAGGTCAGGAGTTGGGAAGGCAGATCGGCCTCATTCTTAAGTAGGTGGCTTCCGGTTTTGTTGTTTGTTTTGGCTGGCGAAGCGACGTTGGCAGCGGCGGCTTGCTTCCGCCTTTCCCCGTCTTGCTCGTTGGATCTTTTAACAGGTTAACAGAGTTGGAAAGGGACCTTGGAGGTCATCCAGTCCAACCCCACCCCACCCAAGCAGGAGACCTTACGCCGTTTCGGACAAGATGGCGGTCCAGTCTCTTCTTGAAAGCCTCCAGTGATAACTTCTGAAGCCAATTTCTGTTCCATCGGACGATTGTTCTGTCAGAAAATGTCTCCTTATTTCCAGGTTGAATGTCTCCTTGTTCGGTTTCCATCCATTATTCCTTTGTCTGGCCTTCGGGTGCCTTGGAAAATAGCTTGACCCCCCCCTCCTCTCTGTGGCAGCCCCTCAAATATTGGTATCATGTCTCCCCTGGTCCTTCTCTTTCTCTTCACTAGACTAGCCGTGCCCAGTTCCTGCAACCGTTCATCGTATGTTTTAGCCTCCAGTCCCCTCATCATCTTGGGTGCTCTTCTCTGCACTTTTTCCAGAGTCTCAACATCCTTTTTTTTTAATAGTGTGGTGACCAAAACTGGATTTATTTATTTATTTTATTTTATTTTATATCAAATTTATATACCGCCCTTCTCCCTAAGGACTCAGGGCGGTGTACAGCCAAAGTAAAAACATAAACTGCAAACATTAAAATACAATTAAAAAGATATATAAAAAGTTGGCCCCATAATTAAAAGCAAGGACAAAACAATTAAAAACATTTAAAAAAAAGTGTTAGGCCAGCCCGGCTTGCTGGAAAAAGAAAGTTTTAAGGGCACGGCGGAAGGCACCGAGGTCTTGGATTCTCCTTATCTCTGGGGGCAGCTGATTCCAGAGGGTAGGTGCCCCACACAGAGAAGGCCTTCCCCCTGGGGGTCACCAGCCTACATTGTTTGGCTGATGGCACCCCGAGGAGGCCCTCTCTGTGGGAGCGTACGGGTCGATGGGAGGCCGTCGGTAGCAGCAGGCGGTCTCGAAGATAACTAGATCCTATGCCATGGAGCGCTTTAGGGGTGATAACCAACACCTTGAAGCGCACCCGAAGACCACTGGGAGCCAGTGCAGCTCACGCAGGAGAGGTGTTGTATGGGAGCACCATGCGGCTCCCGTGACTACCCGCGCGGGCCGCATTCTTGACTGGACAGTTGGAGCCTCCGGGTGCCCTTCAAGGGGAGCCCCATGTAGAGAGCGTTGCGGTAGTCCGGGCGAGAGGTGACGAGGGCGTGAGTGACTGTGCACAGGGGAATCCCGATCAAGAAAGGGCCGTAACTGGCGGATCAGGCGAACCTGACAAAAAGTCCCCCTGGCTACAGCCGTCAGATGTTCCTCCAAGGACAGCTGCGTATCCAGGAGGACTCCCAGATTGCGCGCCCTCTCCGAGGGGCCAAAGACCCCCCCCCCCGATAGTCAGAGATGGAGTCAACTGACTATATCGGGATGCCGGGAACCACAGCCACTCAGTCTTGGAAAGGTTGAGCTTGAGCCGTTTTCTCCCCATCCATCTTTTCTTCTTCTGTTTCTCCCGGTGGTCCAGTTTGTTTTTTTTCTCTTTTTTTTTCTCAGCAGTCCAACCTTTCATGCTAATAACATTTGCTCAGTTCTGGAAAGGCAAAAATACCCCATCAGATGAAGCAATAATAAAGAAGATTTTGGATTGTGAGGAAGCAGATAGACTGACAAAAAAACCTGAAAGATAGAGACCAAAGCAAACATGTTTATCTTGGGAGAAATGGTATACTTGGCTATCGAAAAGAAAACCAAAATCAAAATCAGAATAACATAAATAGACGTTGTATTTATTGAAAATATTTTACTATATATATAAAGTGAGGTCGGACCAGGGTGGATTTGATTTAAATCGAGTTGATTTAAATCACAATTTAAATCATGATTTAAATCACTAGTAAAAAGGCTTGATTTAAATCAACTCGATTTAAATCCTAATTTTTAAAGAGCAACTGTCATCTCTGCTACTCCTTTGACCCGCTGTTGACTCACTGATAGTCCCAGTGTTGCAGAATATACAGCTTCGTGCTACATAACTAAGTTCCATTTCATGCTGAATAAACTAAATTATTTATGTATCTTAAATAGAAAACTATCTTACGATAGATTTTTACCCCCAAAAGTTTTTTATTAAAATAAATTCGATAAAAATCAAAAAAATCCAATTTAAATTTTAAAAAAATCCAATTTAAATAAAAAATCTGATTTTTTTGATTTTTTTTTTAAAAATCATTGATTTTTATCCACCCTGGGTCGGACAGACCTGATTGATTTATAAATTTAAAATAGGGTGTTCTGTCTCCCCCGGAATGTAGTATGAATTTATTGTATAGGTTTGTACTAAATATTAGGTTATTAAGGCATTGTTTTCATGCACTTGTGTTTTCTGTTTTGTTGTCTTGTTTTGTTATTTGTGTGATGTGTTATCTTTTTTTAACTATAAATGTAAATAAAGATTATTTTTTTAAAAAAAAAAGAAAAAGAAAAATGGGGCATTAAATGTCCCTTCCCCAAATCTGAATGTTAGTAGGATGGTTTGGGAAATGGATAACGCAATAGTAGAATAACAGAGGTGGAAGGGACCTTGGAGGTCTTCTAGTCCAGCCCCCTGCTCGGGCAGGAGACCGTAGACCATTTCAGACAAATGGTTGTCCAATCTTTTCTTAAAACCCTCTATTGATGGAGAACCCACAACTTCTGGTGGCAAGCTGTTCCACTGGTTAACTATTCTTACTGTCAGGAAATTTCTCCTTTATTTTAGGTTGCTTCTCTCCTTGATTAGTTTCCATCCATTGTTTCTTGACCTGACCTCTGGTGCTTTGGAGAACAGGTTGACCCTCTCTTCTTTGTCGCAGCCGCTCAAATATTGGAATATAGCTATTATGTCTCCCCTAGTCCTTCTTTTCATTAAACTAACCATACCCAGTTCCTGCAACCGTTCTTCATATGTTTAGGCCTCCAGTCTCCTAATCATCTTTGTTGCTCTTCTCTGCACTCTTTCCAGAGTCTCCACATCTTTTTAAAATTGTGGCGACCAAAACTGGATGCAATATTCCAAATGTGAACTTACCAAGGCCTTACAAGCGGTATTAACACTTCACATGATCTTGATTTCTTTCTTTTTTATATAAATCTTTATTAACATTTAAAATCCAAAAATACAAGTTAAAATACATCTATAACAAAAATATACTGCTCAAAAAAATAGAGGGAACACAAGCAGAAGACATCCGAGATCTGAATGAATGAAATAGCCTTATTAAATACTTTATTCTTTACATATAGTAATTTATACACTGCTCAAACAACTAAAGGGAACACAAAACTATTGTATGTAATGAACAAAGTATTTAATAAGGCTATTTCATTCATTCAGATCTCGGATGTCTTCTGCTTGTGTTCCCTTTATTTTTTTGAGCAGTGTACATCCGTAATAATTATACAATTCAACGTCATTCGGACAGTACGTAATTCTTAACTTTGTTCATCTATTCCTGCATATTCCTACTTAATCGACATATTTAAACACATTTTGTATCTTATTTTATTCTATACCGTTCCTTATTTTTAATTTCTATCCATTGATACCAATTTTTCCAAATTAAGTAGTATTCCGAGTCTTCCTTATTATTTAGTTCTAAAATAAGTTTGTCCATTTCTGCACATTTGAAAATTTTCCGGATTATTGCACAGTCTGTTGGTATAGTGGACATTTTCCAGACTTGCGCGAGTACAATTCTTGCTGCTGTAATTATATGAATGATTAAATATTTAATCCTTTTAGGGTAATTTCCTTTAATAATCCCCAGAAGAAACAGTTCAGGTTTCAATTCTATCTTACAGTGTGTGATTTCTTTTAGCCATTTTTGTATTTTAATCCACAATTTTTAAAACTTCTGGGCAAAGCCACCCTACATGGAAGTAGGTACCTTGTACTTGTTTGCATTTCCAGCAATTAGGTTTTAGATTGGGGTATATTTTTGCGAGTCTTGTTGGGGCTAAATGCCACCGATAGAACATACGTGATCTTGATTTCTATCCCTCTGTTTATGCAGCACAGGGCTGGGTTGGAATTATCCAGGAAAAATAACCAGGAGAAAAGGTGAAAACCCTTTTATTGGCAAAAAAATAAATAAATGGGGAAAATCTGAGTGGGGAATTCACAGGAAAAGAGCAAAGAGATTTTAAACCATTAGAAAATATCTTAGGGCTTAGGGAAAGGAGACCACTGAGAAATCTCAGCCTTGGAGGCTGGGATACCTGGTTGAAAAGAAATATAAGCCAAAGGAAATGTCTGAACACCTTGGCACGACTACAGAAAAATTTTGGGGGATATAGCTGTCAAACCACCAACTCAGATCATGATCTGTGTGAGATGCAGTGGGGGAAAAAGCAAATCTAGAATAGTGTTTGTCAGCCATTTTAAGTCGGGTGGACTTCAACTCCCAGAATTCCACCAGCCAGCATGGCTGACTGGGGAATTCTGGGAATTGAAGTCTACCTAAGTTAGAATGGCTGAGATGGAGAAATGCTGGTCTAAAATTGAATTGATTTCGTTTTCCCTTCTCTTAGGTGTCATTCAGGCTGCGGAAAGTAATCCCTCACGTACGGGTAAGTAAGACCATAGTAAGGAGGGAACCAGGTTAGCAATAATAATTTCTTATATTTATCAGAAAGTGCATTTTCCAAGCTAGGTCTCAACTTCATTCATTTCGTGACCGTTCAAATTTACAACGGCCCTGAAAAAAGCGACTTTTCCATTTATAACCGTCGCCGCATCCCCAAGATCATGTGATCAACATTTGGACACTTGGCAGTTGGTTCATATTTATGACGGTTGCCATGTCGGGGGTGGGGGAAACGCAATCCGACAAGCCAAATCAACGGGGAAGCCAGATTGACTTAACAACTGGGTGACTAACTTCCCAACTGCGGTGGTTCGCTTAACAACGGTGGCAAGAATGGTCGTAAAATGGGGCAAAGCTCACTTCGCAACCGTCTCGCTCTGCGAGCGTCAGAAAATTGGGTCTCCGTTGCGGCCGTAAGCCGAGGACTATTTGTAGAATCAAAGGGAACCTGGAGGACCCTGAGGCGTCATTGTTTTAAAAACGAAAATTAAGCATTGTACAGGTAGTCCTCGACTTATGACCAAAATTGAGCCCAAAATTTCTGTCGGTTACCAAGAAATTCGTTAAGTGAGTTTTGCGATTTTTCTTTCCACATTTGTTAAATGAATCACTGCAGTTATTAAGTGAGTAAGACGGCGGTTAAGTGAATCCACCTTCCGCAATGACGACAATTGATGGGATTCAACTGGTTCGCACCACTTCGGCCGAACCGGTTGTTAAATTCCTGGCTGGTTCTGCCCCACCCCGCCCCTTCCAGAAGTCCCTATGTTCCCCGTTTTGGTTCTCAGGTAAATGCAGGGAGGCCTACTAGGCCCAAAATGTAGCACAGGGCAGGGAGTGAGGCATCCCCCCTCTGCGGCCCATTTTTTCTCCCAGGGGGGTCACACTGCCTGTCACACCCCCTGGCCATACCCACCCTGGCCACGTCCACTCGGCTGGACATTAGGGCAGAGAACCGGTTGTTAAATTATTTGAATCCCACCACTGACTGTGGCCGTGACATAAATATGAGTCAGTTGCCAAGTATCTGAATTTTGATCAGGGGATTTACGGTCGTCAGTGTGAAAAACGGTCATCAGTTGCTTGTTTCAGAGCCGCTGTAACTCCAAACGGTCAGTAAACGGACCAGAGTTGCACCCAAGAAAAGTACGCAGGTTTTGGGGGAAAGGTGAGTTTATGTGTTGTTTTGAGAGAGAGAGAGGAAAATACACAATGTGAGGACTTTATTTTTTTTTTAATCCATACTTCATCTCTCAATCGGTTTAAAAAGATTACGAAAACAATGAGACAAAGAGAATTGGGGGCTTTTTGAAGTCAGGATGTGTAATAATTCCCAGAAATGATTGGGATCCTTCCTCAACAACTTTTAAGATTTAAGGATTTATTACCGTATTTTTCAGACTATAAGACGTACTCCCCCCGCCAAAAGAAGCGGGTGGAAATGTCTTCGCATCTTATAGAGTGAATGTTGCTGAAGCCCCGCCCACCCGCCGGCCCCCACCCTTCAGCCTCTGCCTCCCAGCAATTTGCCTCCTTGCAGCAAACAGCCTGGTCAGCTTTAGCACAGCCTGATTTAGCATGAGCAGCTGATTGGCGGTTGGATCTGTCTCCTGGAATACCACCGATCAGCTGTTCCAGGCTGCGGGAATCGCCGCCGCCCACTACCCATCGACGCTGCCACTTATCGCCGCTTCTACATGCCCCATTTTTGGCCTCCGCATGTCCCGTTTTTGGCCTCCGCACACCCCATTTTCGGCCTCCGCGTGTCCCATATTTGGCCCATTCTGCTGCCTGGAACAGGACATGCAGAGCCAAAAACAGGATGTGCAAATACAGAAAATGGGGCGCATGGAGGCCAAAAATGGAACGCATGGAGGTGGTGATAGGTAGCAGCGACGATGGGCGGCAACAGCGACCATGGCCAGTGGCAATCCCTACAGCCTGGAACAGCTGATCAGTGGTATTCTGGGAGGCAGATCCAACCGCCAATCAGCTGCTTGTGCTAAATCAGGCTGTGCTGAAGTTGTCCAGACTGTTTGCTGTTTGCTGCAAGGAGGCAAATTGCTGGGAGGCAGAGGCAGATTTTTTTCCCCTTGTTTTCCTTCCCAAAAGCTAGGTGCGTCTTAGAGTCCGGAGCATTTTATATCACGGGGAGTGACCACGGGGATGCTGCCACGGCAATTAAGTATGAAAAGCAGTTATTTTTTTCCCGTGCCGTTGTAACTTTGAACGGTCACTAAATGAACCTGCATTGGGACAAGAAGTAAACAGGGACAAAAAGAGGAGGAGTCTTGAGAGTGGTCAAAGAGCTAGAAAAAAAGACAGAGGGGGCATTGTTCTCCTGACTTTCTTTCTCCGCCTCGGCAGCCGTTTGTCCAGGTTATCCCGATGTCCGGAGAGAACCGCAAGGCCAAATCTGTAGCCCTTCGGGCCGCGTGATGACTTCCAGCAGCTGTTCCTGGGTGATCGTGGGTGGCCCAGATGATATCATCTACATTGGGTGAGCAGCAGAGTCTACACTTAATATTACAGGATCCAAAGCAGTGTGGGAGTTATTTTTCCTTCAAACACCATAACTTTAAGAGGTCTTGGGGCTTCAACTGCCAGAATTCCTCTACCATCATGGCCGACTGAGGAATGCTGGGAGTTGAAGGCCTTAGATCCGTGATGATGAATCTATGACACGCATGCAGTGGTGGGATTCAGCCAGGGCCTTCAGAACCTCCAGAAGCTCCTTTAAGAGGACAAAGAGGAGGAGCCTCTTCTCAGTGCACGGGCGCGCATAGCTGCCAAAAGGCAGGAGTAGCTCCTCAGGAGGAGGTTTCCTTGAGAGTAAGGCTTGGGGCTAATTGGCCACTCCCTTAGCCTATTTAAGGAGGAATGCCACTTGCAGCAAGCTGTAGGGAACAACTTTAGTTCAATCTCCTTCGCGTCTGGATTCTCTGCAAAATTGTTTCTGGGCTTTCTCCCAACTCTAGTAAGACTGTGATTACCTTATCTTAGAATTCTGGTAGGCTGTTAAAACAGTTTATTAACAGCCTTTGGTTGATAAAGACTAAGTTATTTGAGTAAAATAAGCTTTGTATAGAGTTTGTGTGTGCTGCGTTCTTTGGGGTCCGTAGCTGGGGCAGAACACTTCCAACTCTGTTATTCTGTGTTTATCTGGGAAGAATTTAGATCAAGGGTGCATTTAAACATTTCTCTGAAATGTCAGTGTTTCCTGCCGGAGCACAGAGCTGGACTAGAAGATCTCCAAGGTCCCTTCCAACGCTGTTATTTTGCATTCTGTTAAATTTCCTTTTTTCAACCTCTTGGTACCTTCAGAAATGACTCTCTGGAGCTTCCACCTAGAAAGATCAATCCAATTTGAGTTTGGGGTCTTTTTGATTCCCCCTCTCACAGGTTCCAGCACTTCTTCCTTTCCTGCGGGTCGGAAATGCTGATCATCCGTGCGCCCAATCAGCCGTCCCGGAAATTGTGCGGTTACACAACGCCGGAATCGATTCGCGTAAAGGGAGGCAACGTGACCCTGACTTACAGTTGGAAATTCTGGGCAAGGAATAGATTTCAGCTCAAATACGAAAGAGGTAAGGCCAGGCTGTGGCTGTTGTGGCCCGCCAGCGGCCAGCAGAGCTGGCAGCCGATTCGGACAGTGAGGAGGTTGGGGAGGAACATGGGCCAGTCCTGGAGTCTGGAGAAGGCTCTGATGAGGGCTCTGTGTCAGAGGCAGAGAGGGGGCCAGGGCCATCTGACAGTTGTCAACTGCCTTCGGAGGCAGACATCAGTGAGGCAGATGAATAGCCGGAGCCTGTTCCCAGTGTGCGCATGCACAGAGTTGCCAGATGAAGGGAACAGCTAAAGAACAAGGGTCGACTTGGGAGTAAAGAACAAGGGTCGACTCAGCAGTAAAGCCACAGGTGGACAGTGAATGGCCCCTCCCAGAGGGAATAAAAGAGGAGCAAAAGGGGAGGGGAGTTTACAGGAGACAATTAGTTCGCTTAATTGGTTCGTGGCTCCTTGCCAAGTTTTGAAGATATCGGCCTGGCAGCTCTCCAAGCCAGATAAGGTCTGTGACTGTAAATTCTCCCTTGAAAGACTTTGCTGGATGTGAATGAGAAGAATTCACAGTAACTTAATAAAAAAGGGTTTTTGTCAGAACAAGGAGTCTGCTTTGTGCTTTTTGGGGAAGTCTAGGTCAGAATAGTGGGGTCCCCAACTCTAAAACCCCAAGACAAGATTATACAGATATATCCTCGATTTATGACATTTTGTTTAGTGACTGTTCAAAGTCAAAACAGCACCGAAGAATGTGACTTATGACCTTCGCAACGTTCTTCGCATGATTATCGGATCAAAATTCAGATTAGAATAGAATAGAATAGAATAGAATAGAATAGAATAGAATAGAATAAGATAGAATAGAATAGAATAGAATAGAATAGAATAGAATAGAATAGAATTTTTTATTGGCAAAGTGTGATTGGACACACAAAGAATTTGTCTTGGTGCATACGATCTCCGTGTACATAAAAGAAAATATACATTCATCAAGAATCATAAGGTACAACACTCAATGATAGTCATAGGGTACAAATAAGCAATCAGGAAACAATATCAATATAAATCTTAAGGATACCAGCAACAAGGTTACAGTCATACAGTTATAAGTGGAAGGAGATGGGTGGTGGGAATGATAAGATTAATAGTAGTGCAGACTTAGTAAGTAGTTTGACAGCGTTGAGGGAATTATTTGTTTAGCAGAGTGATGTTGGGTGTCCATTTTAAATCTTGCAAAATGGTAGAACCTAGAAATTTGAAGGTCCCTACTGTTGATACTGTATTGTCTAGTATTGTGAGAGGTGGAAGTATGGAAGGGTTTCTCCTAAAGTCTACCACCATTTCTACGGTTTTGAGTGTGTTCATTCCAGATTGTTCCGGTCGCACCACGAGATTGTTGGCAACTGGTTCATACTTACGATTGCAGGATCCCTCGGGGCGATGGGTGATCTCCAGGGGTGAAATGCTCCCGGTTCAGACCGGATCGCCCAATCCGGTAGCGATGGTGGCGGGTGGTTCAGAGAACCGGTAGCAAAAATCCCTCCCCACCCCACCCCCCAATGCCCAGCTGAGCCGCACGATTATCAGAGGCTTTATTTTTTTTTTACTTTTAAATGCATTTTTTCTACAACCTCTTCGTCCGAAAAAATGCTTTTCAAAGTAAAAAAACAAGCCTCTGATGATCGCGTGGCTCAGCTAGGATCGTCAGAGGCTTTTAAAAGTATTTTTTTCTGCAACCTCTTCAGCCGAAGAGGTTGTAGAAAAAAAATGCTTTTAAAAACCTCTGACGATCCCAGCTGAGTTGCCTGATCGTCAGAGGCTTTTAAAAGTATTTTTTTCTGCAACCTTTTCGGTCGAAGAAGTTGCAGAAAAATGCTTTTAAAAATATTTTTTAAAAAAATGTTGGCCACGCCCACCCAGTCACATTATTTCCCCACCACCACCAAGCCACGGCCACAGAACCGGTAGTAACAAATTTTACATTTCACCACTGGTGATCTCCTTTTGCGATCATCTGACCAGTGAAGTCTTGAGGGGAAGCCAGATTCACCTAACAACCGGGTTACTAACTTAACGACTGAAGCGATTCGCTTCACCACTGTGGCAAGAAAGGTCATAAAATGGGTCAGAACTGGCTTGAACAAATGTCTCACTTAACAACAGAAATTTTGGGCTCTGCTGTGGTCGTACATCGAGGATTAGCTGTAGTACAGGTGGTCCGCGACTTACGACCACAACGGGGAGCAGAATTTCCACTGCTAAGCAAGGCAATTGATAAGGGAGTCCTGCCTGATTTGACGACTTTTTTTGTTCGTTTGTTATGGTTGCTGAGCGAATCAGTGATGTTGTTAAGTGAACCGCATGGTTGTTAAGCGAATCCAGCTTTTGTCATCGGCCTTGCTGGTCAGAAGCTGGCTGGGAAGGTTGCAAATGGCGCTCACGTAACCCCACAAACCCGGAACCGTCATAAAATCATGCCCATCGCCAGGCATCCAAATTTTGATCACGTAACCATTGGGGGGTTGCTTGATGGTCATAAGTGTCCTCATTTAGCGACTGACTCATTTAGCGAGCATTCGCAATTGCGACAGTGATGAAAGCCTACGCAACCGGCCCTTCCATTTATCACCTTCGCGGGTCTCGAAAAGCTGGAGGAAAGCTGAAGGAAGATTGTAAACCCCGTCACGGTTTCACTTAGTGACCGCTTTGCTTAACAACCGTATCGCCGGTCCTAATTGCGGTTACTGAATGAGGATTTCCTGTAGAGTGATACCGTGATACTGATCGTTAATTGGTTCCAGGAGGAGCGATGAGTATCAAAAACGATGAGCAGCAAAAAAAAAAAAATTTCCCGTAAGAAATGATGTAGTGTAGGAGTACCAAACTCACGGCCCACGGGTTGGATGTGTCACACGCTGGCCACGCCCACCCCCAGTTTAGCGAAGGGGAAAGTTGCGATATGTCACATGACGACAACGTGTCATCGCGAGTTTGACACCCCTGATGTAGTGAGTCATAAGGCAGCCAACAGTTCTCCTTTGTGTGTTGAATACCGAACAAACAATGAGTACCGAGACAAAACTGTCATATCAAAATGCGTCGAGTACCAAATTTGATGAGTTCGAAAGCCGCTGAGTAACAGGTCGTGCTCAACTTACAAAAATCCATTTAGTGACAGTTCAGTGTTACAACGGCAGTGAAATAAGTAAAATAAGAAATAATAAAACTTACTTAACAAATGTTTCTGTCAGCTTTCGAGGTCGTCTCAAATAAATTGCATTTCAAACAAAGTCTTTGAAGAAAACTCCCATTTATTAAGCACGACATTCTAAATCCGACTCCATCGCAGCCAACACTGACTTCCAGACCCAAAACCCTCCCTTTCCGTTCCCCACTCCCCTGCACTCATTGGCCATCTTCCAAGTCACTCTACCCCTAATCTACTGCTCCAGATCAAAGGAATTTCCCCCCTCCCATCCCATCTCCTAAGGCAGTGGGTCCCCAACCCCCGGTCCGCAGACCGGTGCCGGGCCGTGGAGTACCTGGCACGGGCCGCGCAGCGGCCGGGGGACATGAACGCTGCAGCGCAAAGGCTCCTGGGCCGTGCGCAAAAGCTCCTGGGCCGTGCGCAATGGGCCGTGCGCAAAAGCTCCTGGGCCGTGCCCCTACCCCTGCGCGCGCTCAGCGGGCCGCGGCGATAAAAAGGTTGGGGACCACTGTCCTAAGGGATATTATCTCCAGGGAAAATAAGTAGGTGAAAAGTCAAACATCCCTTTCCAGATGCCTTCGCTTCTCCTTCTTATGTCAGCACTAGAGTAAATGCAGCTTGAAGTGCTGACAGTTTCTCTTAGTAACAGAAATTTTGGACTCAATTGTGGTTGTAAGTTGAGGACTACCTATATACTGAGGTACCACTGTATTAAGATTCACGGCGCTGATAGTATCTCTAGAGAGGAATTCTAGACACAAGTAGCAGAGAAGGAAGTTATTTTGTGGGTTTCCTGCTAGGTAATTAAAAATGGTGTCATTTTTGTTTCTTCTGTCAACTTGCAAAACTTTCAAGTTGCCATGAGCAGGAGGGAGGGAGAACTGAAGTGAATTCCATACATTCTTCCTGACCGCAATCAGAAGGAGGGTGTTAGGTTTCACAGCCAGCCAAAGTGGTTAATTGGAGAATGTGATTTATGACATGGCCAGAGAGGAGGGGAGAGACAGGGTCATAGGGGAACGTAAATCTACGTGGGATCAGTCCTAACTGCATCCGAGTATTGCCGGAATGTTGCTCCTAATAAATGACTGTATTTCCTTTGAAGTTTGGATCATGGCTCATGAATTAATTAGGGCATCTTTCGGAATCTTGACCTCTTCTCTTTTTCATCTTTCTCTGTTTCAGAACCTAAAACACAGCCTGTTGTGTCATGCAACCGCACCTTGGACGACTTCTACGGGGTGATTTATTCCCCGGCCTTCAGCTCGGACTCGCACCTGGGAGCTGCACATTGCCAGTGGGTCCTGGATGCCCACGATAGCCGTCCCCTCACCCTTCGCTTCACGGTCCTTAACTTAGATATCGGGGACTCTCTCCGGGTGTATGATGGTGTGCCTGGCGACCCACTCCTCCCTCACCTGCTGCGTAACTTGGATTACACCAGCAACAACAAGATTGTGTCGGTAGATTCCCCATCTAGCCGGGCATGGGTGGTCTACCAGGCGGTGCCGGGAACAGAAGGACGGGGATTCAATGCCACGTACCACGTGCAAGGATTTTGTGTGCCGTGGGACTTCCCCTGCGGAGGAGACAGCGGCGAGGGCGCCATGTGTTACAGCACCGTTGAGCGGTGCGACGGTAATTGGGATTGTGCCAATGGCGCCGATGAGGATGGTTGCCATGGCTGCCCACCGGGGCAGTATCCCTGTGGAGGACGAGGCATCGGAGGCGCCATCTGCTACAGTGCCACCGACCGTTGCAACTACCAAACGTTTTGTGCGGATGCCGCTGACGAACGCCGTTGTTACTCCTGCCAGCCCGGGAACTTCCGGTGCAGAGACGGCCGCTGTATCTACGAGAGCTGGGTGTGTGACGGGCAGGCAGACTGCGTTGATACTTCAGACGAGGCGGACTGCTCCTACATCCTGCCCCGCAAGGTGGTGACGGCGGCCGTCATTGGCAGCCTGGTATGCGGTCTCCTTCTGGTCATCGCGCTGGGCTGCACATGCCGTCTGTATGCGCTCCGGAGCCATGATTTTGGGTGAGGGGCCAGATTCTGGGGAAATAAAGGAAGAGGGTGGGACTTTGGAGGTGTAGTGGCTGGAAAGGACGGGGATAGAGTTGATGCACTAGAGGGGTCAATATTGAGAGGAAGAGCCCATATCGAATGGACTGAGGGGGAGGGAGTTGTGTCCTGGGAATGAGGGCTGACCCCAGGGCAGTGTTGTTACCCAATTTTGGCAGTTTAAAGAAGTGTAGACTTCAACTCCCAGAATTTATTTATTTATTTATTTATTTTAATTTAATTTGTATACCGCCCTTCTCCCCAAAGGGACTCAGGGCGGTGAACAGCCAAAATTAAAATACATACAATACAAAAGTTAAGATAATTAAAAGAGATTAAATCAATCGGCCTCCCAATTTAAAACCCCAAGTCTATAAAATTTAAAAATCCCATTAAAAACCATTTAGGCTAGGCCATATCGTCACCGCTACCGGCTTGGCCGAACCGGACCGAACAGGGAGGAATCCACCACTGAGTCACTCCTCGCCTGGCCTGAGAAGGTAAGGGAGATGGTGGGGGATGGAGAAGTGGCCAGGGCAGAGATAGAGAGATACAGAGAGAGAGAGAGAGAGAGAGAGAGAGAGAAGGGGGAAGGGAGGGAGGGAGGGAGGGAGAGAGAGAGAGATGTCAAAAGGATTTTGTGGTTCCCGTTGTTGTTTTAACAACTGGTTCTCTGCCCTAATGACCAGCTTGGTAGGCGTGACTAGGGAGGGTCATGTGACTGGCGGAAGTGAGTGACATCGAGTTGGCCACGCCCACTGAGGTTTTGTGGCTCCCGGTGTTTTCTTTTCTGTGGGAAACAGGTCCAAATGGCTCTTTGAGTATTTAAGGTTGCAGAGTCAGACCCTTGGTTTAGAATATACTATAAGCTCAAACAGAAAGGTTTTGGCTAAGTGAGGGTCTTGTATCTCTTATCCTACTTTGACACTTGAATTAAGAATAGAGAACCTGTTTTGGCCACATGGCCAAATGAATTTTAACCAAGGTGTTGCTGGCTATAGTTATCATGTCTGAACTGTCTTTCTCCATGCAGCAAAGTAGGAAAAATTGGGATTTTCTTCATTATTAGCAGATTCTCAGTTTCCGACTTTGGTCAAAGAAGAAAGTGATGTCAAATAAATGAATCAAGTTTAGGTAAACTGAATCTGGGTTGTTTATTAGTAAACCAACCAGATATAGGCTGGATTTAGTCGTTCTTAAATTAGCTCCTAAATTAAGTTACTTGTAGGGATGGGACCGAACCATACGCTCATCAAATGAGTTGATTTGCCACAAAAAATTTGACTAAAGTTAAAACAAATCAAAGGTATCTTACTCCTTTGTTACAGGCCCATCATTGTGTCCTAAGATGTTTGTGGTTAATTGTCAGAAAACAGACAGCACAAGGACCCCTGGAACTCTATGTATGGTTATTTATTTATTTATTTAATTAATTAATTAATTAATTAATTAATTAATTAATTTTTATACCGCCTTTCTCCCGAAGGACTCCGGGCAGTGTACAGCCATATTAAAACAACATACACCCACAGAATTTAAAAACAATTTAAAATATATTAAAAAATTTGGCCATTATATTAAAAACTACAAACACCCAATTAAAATTCATTTTCTAGGTTATGAGTTACAATAGCAAAAACCCATCTCTTATACTCAAGGAAATCAAGACAGGGCAGCCTGAGCTTCTTCCTTAACCTCTCCTCCCATCCAAAATTAAGCATGTATCTACATAACAGCCAGGGAGGGGGCTGCTGGGGGTTCACAGGGGTTCGGGAGAACCTCTAGCTAAGATTCTGTGCAGTTCAGAGAATCCCCAAATCCCACTTCTGGCTGGCCCCGCCCACCCCACCCCGCCCTTCCCAGGAGTCCCCACGCGGCCCGTTTTGGATGCAGATAAGTGCAGGGCGTGCACAGAGGCTCGGGAAGGTTGGAAAACAGGCTTACGGAGGTTCGGGCCTCCGGAGCCTGGGGAGGCTGTTTTCATCTTCCCGGACGCTCAAGGAAAGCCTCTGGAGCCTAGGGAGGGCAAAAACACTACCCCTAACTAGGCCACGCCCACCATGGCCATGCCCACCCAACAACTGGGCAGAGAACCCCTTGCTAAAATTTGTGAAGCCCACCTCTGATAACAGCCACTAATCAATCCATCAAATCTTTATTCAGTCATAGACCAATATAAACAGCTGTTAATGTTGTGGCTCTGTTATCTGAGCCTGTGTCATCGGCAGGCGAGGACTCCGAGAGTGAAGGAGAGTAGTTGGCAAGGCCTCCCTGTCCAGGACCCTCCTCTCTGGCAATGCCTTCGGTGTCCACTGAAGGGCAAGAGATAGGGCCGGGGCCAAGCACATCCACACAGCCACAGATGGACAGTGATGAGGGTAATGAGTCTTGGCTGGATCCATGCCAGCGTCGCAGAGATAAGCGCGCGCAACAGAAGAAAAGGCGTGCCCGAGATTAGGCTGAGTCACTGGACCACACCCCACAAGGTATAAAAGGGAGCGTGGTAGCCAGTCAAACCTTGTGACGAACAAAGCTGAAAGCTTTCACGCCATTCTGCATTGCCGGACTTTTTGCTATAGACTTTGCTGGATTATCTCTGGACTTGATTGACTCCGTAATGATTGAGCTGTTTCTTTTGATGTACCAGGAGTGGGGAGAAGTTATCTCTCCTCTTCGTAAGTAATAAACTCTTGGCAGGCAGCCACTAGGTTGTTGCCAAGTTCTGTTATCATAAGGAAAAGGATTTTGCCGGCTGGTTTGGTCTTTAACTCTGGAATGTCTGTTGGTGTGTGTGCGTGTGGGACGGGGACAGAACAGTTGAATTCTTTCTTGAAGGCTATCCCTATATCCCTCTACAACAACGGCATCCGTGCATTTTGAAGCCTTTCATATAAACTCAAGAGCATCATCAATTTCTATCAAAATGGAGTGAGGAAGCTTGGATATTTTCTATCTCCAAACCTGGGAAACGTCAGATTATTGACTGACACTCTATGGCAAATCCCCACCTCTGTCACCTCCTGCAAGTTGCAGCAATGGCCTACCTGAAAGAGGCAAGAAGCTTTCAGGTAAATACAGATAAGCCTTATCTCCTTCGCCGGAGTCGGTTGGATATTCTTCAAGAACCTTTTTGGAAAATACGTGGAATGCCGGCTCTGTCTCGAAGCATCAGGATCCTGCAATGCGGCATGAAACAGGCATTTATGCAAATTATCATCAACGATGCTGCCTCCAATATATTAGACTTTCCCCTTTGCATCCCCAATTCACAAGATTTAAAACTCTGTGTCTGCAATTCCATCATGACTGCATAAGAATGAAATTAGGTTGGGTCACTGTGGATCAGCATAAATGTCAGCGTTCCAGAAAACCCCCAACTCCCAGTAAAGACACGGAAGCAGGCATTTGGCCTAATATGGCTTCCAAGGCTGACAATAGGAACGTAATAGCCAGTATTGGTTATTACGATGAGCTGTGGTGGCGCAGTGGTTAGAGTGCAGTACTGCAGGCTACTTCTGCTGACTGCCGGCTGACTGCAATTTGGTAGTTCGAATCTCACCAGACTCAAGTTTGACTCAGCTTTCCAAGGTCAGTAAAATGAGGACCTAGATTGTTGGGGGCAAGAGGCTGACTCTGACCCTCTGCTTAGAGAGGGCTGTAAAGCACTGTAAAGCAGTATATAATTCTAAGTGGTATTGCTATATTCCTTCCTTCCTTCCTTCCTTCCTTCCTCCTTCCTTCCTTCCTTCCTTCCTTCCTTCCTTCCTTCCTGTTAGAATGCAGTATTGCAGGCTAACTCTGCCCACTGCCAGGAGTTCAACTCTCACTGGCTCAAGAGGTTGACTCAGCCTTCCATCCTTCCGAGGTCGGTAAAGAGCCTTGGTAGTACAGTGGTCTAAGGCACCCTGTTATTAAGCTGGTTATTAAGACCAGATGCCTGCAATTACTGCAGGTTCGAATCTCGGCAAGGCTCAAGGTTGACTCAGCCTTCCATCCTTTCTAAGGTAGGTAAATTGAGGACCCAGTTGTGGGGGCAATAAGCTGACTTTGTATAAATATACAAAAGAATGAAGGCTATTGCTTAACGCATTGTAAGCCGCCCTGAGTCTCCGGAGAAGGGCGGCATATATAAATCAAAATTAAAAAAAAATTGAGGATGGGTAAAATGGGTAGCACTAAACATCCTTCCTCCACCCCACTTTTCTATTCAAGATGGATCAAATAACTAAACCACTGTTTCTGAATCTTGACAATATTTAAGATGGGTAGGCTTCAACCCCTAGAATTCAGGCATAGGCTGCCTGGGGAATTCTGGGAATTGAAGTCCACACATCTACTAGTTGTCCAAATTGAGAAACACAGAATTAGACAGATAGTGTGGAAAAGGAAAAAAAATACTTACTAAAAAATCCTCACTGTTGATCGTTAACCCTTCAAATTTAGTGTATATTAATGTTTGAATATTAGAGTGAACAGTAATGAGATTGTCCCTCTGTAAATGGACTTTCAGCAAGGCCGTCTCCAAGTTCTTTAGGACTCTATAAAAATAAGCAAAGTGGAAACCATAGGCCTTATAAATGGAATATACTCTGGTGCAACTCAATAGTCAGTCTTCAGATTAAATAATTTATAGCATGAATTTAACATAAACCTAGAGATGATCCAACATGTCATCAGCTAGAGAAAATAAGCATCTCTTGTATTTTATTACTCTTTGTTGTTGTTCTTGTTGTTAGTTGCGAAGTCGTGTCCGACCCATCACAACCCCATGGACAACATTCCTCCAGGCCTTCCTGTCCTCTACCATCCTCTGGAGTCCATTTAAGCTCACACCGACTGCTTCAGTGACTCCATCCAGCCACCTCCTTCTCTGCCGTCCCCTTCTTCTTTTGCCCTCAATCTTTCCCAGCATTAGGCTCTTCTCCAGTGAGTCCTTTCTTCTCATTAGGTGGCCAAAGTATTTGAGTTTCATCTTCAGGATCCGGCCTTCTAAAGAGCAGTCAGGGTTGATCTCCTCTAGGACTGACCGGTTGGATCGCCTTGCAGTCCAAGGGACTCACAGGAGTCTTCTCCAGCACCAGAGTTCAAAGGCCTCCATTCTTTGGCACTCAGCCTTCCTTATGGTCCAACTTTCACAGCCATCCATTGCAACTGGGAAAACGATCGCCTTGACTATACACACTTTTTTTGGCAGGATTTATTGCTCTACAGCAGTGTTTCTCAAACTTGAGAAGTTGAAGATGGGTGAACTTCTAGTCCCAGAGTTCCTGCTGGCTGGCAAATTCTGAGAGTTGGTCCATATTTCTTAAAGTCACCAAGGTTGAAAGGCACTGGACTAAATAGTTGTTTTCTCTGTGTAGGTTAAACTTCTTCTATGGTTTCCATTAAAAACGTTTTCTAGAACATCTAACTTCCATCACGTATATCCCCGAAAGTCCTTCTTTTCCTCTGATAAATATTCAGAAATTATATATTCATACATTCAGAGTTCTTCATGCATTCAGACTTTGAAAGGCTGCTTAAAAGTCAGAAGCTGGAAATCTGATATATTTAGAATGCATGGTAGGAAGTGCCGCATTAAGCTGAAATTAAATATAGACGTAACATGCTGCCCACAGTTGGAGACCAGAGTTTATGACAGCTCCACTTGGATATACCAGCAATTTGGTACTTATTAGTTCAATCGATCAGAATAGAACTGGAAGGGACCTTGGAGGACTTCTAGTCCAACCCCCTGCTCAAGCAGAAGATCCTGTACAATTTCAGACTGTTTCCAAAGCAGAGCTACAACCCTTTCACTTCATAGCTGTGTGTTTTCTGGTTGTTAAGATTCCTGCCTTGACTTTGGACCGTGCCTAGTGAACGCTGGACTTTTGTTGCCTTGTGAATCCTCTTGTGTTGTGGATTTAATTCTGCCTGGTGGGTTTATCTTGTTTGAGAAACTTCCAAGTGCCTTGTGGACTCCTTGGCCATTGCTCTTTAGACTAGCATCGGTCTGCTTGTGTTGTTGTTGTTGTTAGTTGCGAAGTCGTGTCCGACCCATCGTGACCCCATGGACAACGTTCCTCCAGGCCTTCCTGTCCTGGTCTGCTTGTGGCTGGATTTAATTGGGACAGTTTTGGGCAGTGGTGAAATGTAAAATTTGTTACCACAGGGTTCTGTGGGCGTGGCTTGGTGGGGGGGGGTTAATGTGACTGAGTGGGCGTGGCCAACTTTTTTTTTAAAAAAAAACCTTTTAAAAGCATTTTTTCTACAACCTCTTCGTCCAAAGAGGTTGTTTAAAAAATGCTTTTAAAAGCCTCTGACGATCCCAGCTGAGTTGCCTGATCGTCAGAGGCTTTTTTTTTCTTTTAAAAACATTTGTTTCTACAACTTCTTTGGCCGAAGGCGAAGGGGTTGTAGAAAAAATGCTTTTAAAAGCCTCTGACGATCCCAGCTGAGCCACACGATCATCAGAGGCTTTTTTTTTTTTACTTTTAAAAGCATTTTTTTCGGCCAAAGAGGTTGTAAAAAAAAATGCTTTTAAAAATAAAAATAAAAAAACCTCTGATGATCGCGCGGCTCAGCTGGGCATGTGGGGGGGGCAGGGATTTTTGCTACCAGTTCTCCGAACCACCCGCCACCATCGCTACCAGATCAGGCGATCCGGTCCGAACCAGGAGCATTTCACCCCTGGTTTTGGGGTTTTGGTGAATGGAATTGCTGTGGAATATTAATAAGCCCACCAAACCACGGTTACATGCGTGTGTGAATGAATGAGTGGGACAGCACAGGATCCCAGGTTCCCCCACCAAAATGATACAATTGCAGATTTTTTCAGGTGGCTTCCTTGAAGCTACTGTATATAGACTGGTCAAAAGGCAAACTTCTTCCCCTCATTTTTATAACATAAAAAGTGCAAATAATAAGAACCTACTTCCTTGTCTCGTTGGAAGCGCATCCTGAGTCTATGTGCCCTTCATAGTTCTCCATAGCTGCAGTCACATCTACTTCTTTGTTGGGTGCTAACAAACAGCAGGGGCAGCACAGAACGTGGGAAAGAAGAAGTAACAGAAAGGAGAAAGAAAGTGTCTCCATTAACATCACAAGATCAGCACAAACAGAAAGTTTGAAGAACTGGACAGGAACAGAACTGGTCGTCATCTCCAAGTGAGATTAAAGGCCTTCAAAGCTGGCGCAAAGATGCTTTCTCAAGAGGCAACTGGACCAGTGGTGAAATCCAAAATTTTTACTACCGGTTCTGTGGGCGTGGCAGGGGAAGGATACTGCAAAATCTCCATTCCCTCCTCACTCCTGGGGGAAGGATATTGCAAAATCCCCATTCCCACCCCACTCGGGGGCCCGCCAGAAGTGGTATTTGCCGGTTCTCCAAACTACTCAAAATTTCCGCTACCGTTTCTCCAGAACCTGTCAGAACCTGCTGGATTTCACCCCTGCTTCTCTCCTTAATTAGTTTCCACCCATTGCTTCTTGTCCTGCCCTCAGGTGCTTTGGAGAGATAAATACATCAAACCATGGATTAACTAGCCACCATGGAAGCATCCTCAACAACCCACTGCAGTTCTGAGGCAAAACCCTTGCAAAGAAATCAGAACTCCGCCTCTTTCTGCTTAGCCCACCAAGGTCTTTTACCTGATGTAGAATTCACAAAAACCCAGCAGGCAAAAAAGCAAAGGCATATTCGGGAATCCATTGCTGCATCACTTAGCCCGCTCCAAACAGCTGTGGAAAAAGAACCGAGATAAATTTAGGAGGTCTTCTAGTCCAACCCCCGAAGGAACAACACCTTTCTTGCTGCTCTGAGCACCCTACACAACACCACAAAGCCACATTTTCACTCTGGAGAGTCCCACCTTGGCAACTTTAAGACCTGTGGACTTCAGCTCTCAGAATTTCCCCAGCCGCTGGCTGGGGAATTCTGAGAGCTGAAGTCCACAGGTCTTAAAGTTGCCAAGTTTTGACAGCCCTGTTTTGACAATTTAACTTTAAATATTACACTCATTCATTTACCCCAGGCGTGCCTGGGACCCTAGCCAGGTTTTAAGAATTCTCCAGTTCCCCAGATGAGTGGGTACCATCAGCGGTGAAATCCACTTACCTTCACTACCGGCTCAGGAACGGGAGCGCATGGGAGCATGCGCAGATGGTAAGAAAAGCGATGTGATGACATCCCAGTGGGTGGGAGGAGTCTCCCGCCGCCGGCGCTATCAGTTCGGTGAGACGGATAGAACCAGGGAGGATTTCACAGCTGGGTACAATGCAGGGGTGGGTTCTACTTACCTCCACTACTGGTTCGCAATAGGAGCATGCACATGCGCTTCTGCATATGTGCAGATCATTCATGATGATATCTGGGCAGAAGGGCAGAGCCTCCCACCGCCATTACTACCTTCGTTCGCAAGAACCGGACGAAACCAGGAGCAACCCACCACTGGTACCATGCATATCTCTGATGGGAGAGTGTTCTGGAGGGTGGTGTCAACCATCTCACTCAGTCATCCAGCAAAGAAGACTCCTGGCCAGTGGTTGGCTGCAACTGGTTTAACAACCAGTTCGGTGAGCACATGCTTTGCACATGCATTTGCACTTCTTGGGCACGCACGCGCGCAGCATTCAAAACCCACCCATTTTAAGCTCTAAAACTTACCTTCTACTGCAGCGCCAGTGAGTAAAACAGCTGAGGCACGGCAATCCGCTGGGCCTCGCGAATCAGCTGAGCTGAAAAACATGGAAATATAGGACAGGATAGGGCAGGGGCAGGTGGACGGGGCCAACCAGGTGGATTGGCCGAACCAATCCAAACCGGCAGCAGCCCACCATTCGTTCTTGCCAAGAGTAGACTTTACTGAAGCTTAGGTGATTACAGAAGTAGCGAAGCTGAATCTAAGGTTCTCCCATGTGAACAATACGAAGTAAATTTTCCTCTTCCCCCCTTCCTGCCATCTCCCCCCTCCCCTGGTTATCTATAAATGTCCAATTAGTTGCTTATATATTGTTTAGGAAACAGGTGCCTGAAGCTTCTCAAATATAGATTGAGGGAAACCAGGCTTAATAGCAGTAACTATAAGAGGTTTCTTGGAGTCTTAGTGAACAGCCAGCTAAATATGAGCCAACAGTGTGCAGCAGCAGCCAAAAAAGCCAACACAATCCTAAATTGCATGAACAGAGGGATACAATCAAGATCAAGTGAGGTACTAACACCATTCTATAAAACCTTAGTAAGACCACAGCTAGAGTACTGCATCCAATTTTGGTCACCACACTATAAAAAAGATGTTGAGACTCTAGAAAAAGTGCAGAGAAGAGCAACCAAGATGATTAGGGGACTGGAGGCTAAAACATACGATGAACGGTTGCAGGAACTGGGCCTGGCTAGTCTAGTGAAGAGAGGACCAGTGGAGACAGGTTTTTTCTGGAAAAGCGAATTTCTCTGGAGGAGGAGGAACCAGCCCCAAAGACTCACTGTGACGTAGCAGTGCGATTTGATCTTGTCGATCCAAAAAGCGTCCTCCAGCAGGGTGCCCGTGCGGCCCAGCAGCTCCTTCAGTTGCCCCAGCGTGAAGGGCCTCACCTACCCGCGCGGACAAACACCCGAGGATTAAGAAAAGGCTCCTGATAGCAGTAACACTTAAGACTTCGATACCGCTTTTTATGTGATAATTCATGTAATAACTGCGGCTAGGATTTGTATTTGCACAAAATTGGAAAAAAATGAAGAGATCCCTATGGAGGAGAATGCGATTAGGAAAATATTAGAAGGTGCAGGAATCAATAGGTTAACGCTTGAAATTAAAGAGAAGGAACAAGTCGATTATTATAACGTATGGCAGGGGTCTGCAACCTTAAATACTCAAAGAGCCATTTGGACCCGTTTCCCACAGAAAACACCGGGAGCCACAAAACCTGGGTGACAATACATCACAGAACTCAGGATGTTACAACATTAAAGCTCAGGATGTTACAACACAGCCAACTACCCAGGATGCTGCAGCACAGAACTCAGGATGTTACAACATTAAAGCTCAGGATGTTACAACACAGCCAACTACCCAGGATGTTGCAGCACAGGACTCAGGATGTCACAACACTAGTTGTGTTGCGCTACCACGCAACCTATTACCCAGGTCGTTACAACACAAAAGACTAATGGGCACACAGCTAGGACTTCGGCCACACAGGATGTTACGAAACAGCCGACTAATCTGCAAACATCAACTCCATTTACTAATCAAGATGTAACAACACAGTCAACCAACCCGCTTACAACAACAAAGCCAGCACTCCCCACCTCCCCACCAGTATTTATAGAGAGATGGCATCTTCGATCACGCTTTGCTCGCACAAGCACGAAGCCGAAGACACCAGCCTGAAGATGACGAGTGGGACCTCGTTGAAAGGTCACCAAGATACTCTCAATCTTACTGTGAAGTTTCCAAAAGATGCCCTAATTAATTCATGAGCCATGAGCCGAATTTCAAAAGAAATACAGTCATTTATTAGGAGCACCATTTCGGCAATATTCGGATGCAGTTAGAACTAATCCCACGTAGATTTACGTTCCCCTATGACCCTGTCTCTCCCCTCCTCTCTGGCCATGTCATAAATCACATTCTCCAATTAACCACTTTGGCTGGCTGTGAAATCCAACACCCTCCTTCTGATTGCGGTTAGGAAGAATGTATGGAATGCACTTCAGTTAGGGAAATCAATCAGCTCTATCAGTTCTCCCTCCCTCCTGCTCATGGCAACTTGAAAGCTTTGCAAGTTGACACTTACACGGGAAAAGACCCGAATACGCCAAGACTCACACACACACACACACACACACGTATAAAAAGTGTTTTTCTATTGAAGCACCTGGTCTACCTCAATATGTGAGGGAGCACACTGCTTCCTTTCAACAAGTACAGGGGCGTTTCGCTCCTGCTCTGGAATACGGAGCAAGTCTCCATCCCCCGCCATCACCCTTACCTTCTCAGGCCAGGTGAGGAATGACTGGAAGGGGAGGGTGAGGGGCGGGGTGGGGCCAGCCAGTGGTGGTTCAGCCAACAGGGAGCCACAGCAGGGGATGAAAGAGCCGCATGTGGCTCCAGAGCCGCAGGTTGCTGACCCCTGACATATGGGAACTGTTTTATCAATGGTTCGAGAATAAATATGAAAAGTGGAAAAAAGCAGAGATGTGAAATAGAAAAAAATGTTTTAATAAAGTTAAATAAGAAGAGGACTGTTATAGTATTAGGTATGGTATATATTAGTATTAAGTTAAGAATAGATAAAATAATAAATATGACTGTAAATTGTTATCGTATAAAATATTTGCACAAAATATTTGTACCCAGGCGACACACTGTTTAATGGAAGATGATATTTGAAGTAAAATAAAATCAAAAAATTTGGACAAGACTTATATACCGCTTTACAGCCCTCTCTAAGTGGTTTACAGAGTCAGTCTCTTGTCCCCCAACAATTTGGGTCCTCAGTTTACCCACCTCGGAAGGAAGGATGGAAGGCCGAATCAACCTTGAGCCTGGCAAGATTCAAACTGCCAAATTGCAGGCAGTCAGCAATACCGCACTCTAACCATTGCGCCACCCGATGTCCCCCCCAAAATGGTTACAGCACCCCCCCAAAACACTCACCAGGTTGCAGATGTGAACGATACAGCTGACCTTGCCCCGTGGCGGGGAGGGGACCTGGGCCGTGCGGACGGGATCGTCGATGGTGATGGAGACCCCGGAACGTTGCTGGCTGATGGACCGCCGGGTGAGCGTGTCGCTCAGCGTGACTGCGGGGGGGAAGGGAGACAGAAAGCCCACAGGTGAGTCTTACCTGTTGGGGGTCAATCGTTCCCCCCCTCTCTTCTGCCGGTCCTCCCCCGGTACCTTTTTTGACTTCGTGCTCTACCGGGGGAGGCAGAACCACCGTCTCTACAGCGATAACGGGTGCCGACTCCGGCTGCTCTTCCTCGTGGACCTTCTCTTCTTCTTCCTCCTCCTCCTCTTCCTCCCCTTGGCCATTCTCTTGCCCTTCGACGGGGACCACCTGGGAGGGAAGGGTGGGATAGAGGTTTCTCAGCCTGGAAGGGACCAGGCTGAACTTGACAAAACAATGTTTTTTGCTGCTCTAAACCCAATTTGTGGGGAACCCCCCCCGGCTTTTCTCGATCCGAAGATCTTCGTGTCGCAGATGAAGGTGAGGAAGGATCTTCCTCCCCTTTTCAGTTCAGGGGTTATCAGAGAATGGTAAGAATGTTACATTGAGAATGTTCTGAAGGGTGTGTAGTCCTCATGAGCACGAGAAATACCAATGTTTTTGGGGGAAGAGCGTCCTTGGGGGCTCTCTTAAGCTCGGTTTTCTTTTTCTTTAATTCTCAATTTTTTATTTTATTCAGAAAATTCAAATTAAAAAAATCCAAAAGAAAATAAAAATTTAACAGAGACAAAACTAGGCAAAATGTGAAAAAAGGCAATAGGCAAAAACACGTATTATACCTAGTTGAACAGCGACAAATCTATTCCAACAATAGTTTCCTCCCTATATGATATATTTTTTCTCTTTTGAGAGGAATTATTCTTTCTCCAACGTGTATTTAACAGAATAAACCGAAAGGGACCTTGGAAGTCTTCTAGTCCAATCCCCTACTCAAGCAGGAAACTCTATATACCGTTTCAGACAAATGGTTGTCCAATCCCTTCTTAAAAACCTCCAGTGTTGGTGCACGCACAACTTCTGGTGGCAGGTTGTTCCGCTGATTAATTGCTCTCACTGTCAGGAAATTTCTCCTTAAAGGTGGCTTCTCTCCTTAATTAATTCAGATTAATGATTTACCTACCTTAGAAATCCTTAAATTTCTTAGAATTCTTAAATTTCTAAGAAGAAATTTTCTGACAGTGAGAACAATTAATCAGTGGAACAACTTGCCTCCAGAATCGGTGAATGCTCCAACACTGGAAGTTTTTAAGAAAAGACTGGACAACCCTTTGTCTGAAATGGTCTCGGGTTTTCTGCCTAAACTAGAAGGGGGTTGGACTAGAAGATCTCCAAAGTCCCTTCCAACTCTCTATTTCTATTTCCATTCCATTCTTTCCAATTCCATTCTATTCCATTTCCACCCTACCCTACAGCCTCCAGTGTTGGAGCTATCTACAACTTCTGGTGGCAAGCTGTTCTACTGATTAATTGTCCTCACTGTCAGGAAATTCCTCCTTAGTTCTAAGGTTGCTTCTCTCCTTGATTAGTTTCCATCCATTGTTTCTTGTCTTGTTTTGTTTTTTTTGGTGCTTTGGAGAGTAAGTGGATCCCCTCTTCTTTATATATACAGTAGATTATCAATGTTCTGACCTAGGCTCCCTTAACAAGCAGGAGGCAGGAACTGATCCCGGCAAAACCTCTTTTATTTACACAACTGTGAATTACGTTCATTCACAGTCCGTAACAGTTTTTCAAAGGAATATTTCTCAACACAGACCTTATCTCGCTTGGCAAGCTGCCACGTAACTTGTTTCCAACCGCAGTACAAGGCCAAACTTGGCGCAGAGTCTCTCAGAGTCACGGAACGAACGGATTGTTTCCTGCAAAAGCCCACTCTCTGTTCGCTCCTCTTTTATTTCCTATGGGAAGGGCCAATCACCTCCAAGGTGTGGCTTTACTCCAGAGTAGACCCTGCTTTCTGAGTTGTTCGTCTTCTGGCAGCTCTGTGCATGCGCACACTGGGAACGGGCTCCAGCTGTTCCTCTGCCTCACTGCTGTCTAGCTCCCTCTCTGCTTCCGACACAGAGCCCTCGTCCGAGCTTTTCCCAACCCCCAGGAGTGGCCCAAGTTCCTCCCCAACCTCCTCACTATCAGACTCTGCTGCTAGCTTTGCTGGCCGCCGGTGGGCCACAACAATCAATCGATTCAATTGCAAATCCAAAGAATTAATCCTATATTCTCTGGAGTTCCTAAGACTGGTTACAGATGTTTCATTACCAACGTAGGTAACATCATCAGCGTTCCTGGCAGGCTGAATTCGGTCTATACAAGAAGAGAGGCAACAGTGGCTCCTCTTTCCCTCCTGTCTCCGTGGACAAAAGCCAGAGATCTTCGGTAGCCAAACACCTTTTGCAAGACTAATTTTGGGCAGGGGGCCGGTCGTGTTCAATAAAGGAGGATCTCCCTGCAGATTAAGAACCTGACAGCTACGCTAGGTCCTTGGCTCAGGTTTTAGGATATTTTAATATGATTTTTCCGAGCACCGCCTTGGCCCTGCAATTAGTAACCGCCTTTTTAAAAAAAGGGGGAAAAGCCTTGCGCTTAATGATTTCGTTTACGGGAGATTGGCTGTTCACCACCCTGAAATCGATGGGAGATGCGAGTGCAGTAAAAACGACCGAGTTGAATAAATCGGTCGCCTGGCACGCGTGCAGCTTCGTGGCTTGCCAAGTCTCACGCCTGAGTGCCGCTTCCGCCCTGGGGACAGATCGGGAGCCGTTGTTTCCCCCCCCCCCCACCCCCACCAAGCACCAACCTGCGTGACTGTACGGCAAATCTTGAGCGCTTTCTCGTGAGCCGGCTCTTCCAAGTGGCGCTCGGCTTCGTCTTCAGAGATGCGGGAGTCGTCGGCATGAAGGTCCACCACGGCTTCCTGGCCTCCTGGCGGCGGCTTAATCTCCGGGATCAGGCTCTGGAGGAGGGAGGAGGAGGAGGAAGGAGAAAAGTACATCAGGGTCTGAGCTAGGCTGACCCGGGGTCGACTTTTGTCCCGGCTAACCGGTTACCTTGAGGGATTCGGTGGTGATGCTTATCGAAGGTTTCTTCTGGGTCGTAGCAGTGCTGGCGCCCCAGCGCCGTTTGCGGCCCGCCGGCTGGCTTCCTTCGGTGTCGCTGTTTGTGGCGACGGCCCCTTTGGCCACAGAGGATGCTAAAAGCGACGGAGGGAGGAAAGGAGTTTAAAAACCTGAGCAATTTTCCCGGGACATAGTTGGGGACAGCTTTGCTCTTGAGGTGGCTCGAGTGAGCGAGTCAGTTCACGTCCACCCTCTTTCCCTAACCCCCATGCCCTCTTCTGCATGATCTGACAATAGTTAGTTGACTTACGACTATTATTGCACCCAATTTCTGTTGCTAAGCGAGACAATTGAGTTTTGCCTCATTTTACGACCTTTCTTGACAACGTTGGGGCAGCTTGGCTTGTGAGGTGGCTCGTGTGAGTGAGTCAGTTCACGTCCACCCTCTTTCCCTAACCCCGATGCCTTCTTCTGCATGATCTGCCAGTACAGTAGTCCTTGACTTACGACAATGGAGCCCAAAATTTCTGTGGCTAAGCGAGACAACTGAGTTTTGCTCCATTTTACGACCTTTCTTGCCCACAACGGTTAAGTGAATTCCTGCAGTTGTTAAGTCAGTAAGATGGCCATTAAGGGAATACGGCTTTCCCCCTCATTGCTTGTCAGGAGGTCGCAAAAAGGGGATCACGTGGCCCTGGGACGCTGCGACCGTCATAAATACGAACTGGTGGCCAAGTGCCCGAATGATGATCAAGGTGACCATGGGGAGGCTAAAAACGGTCGTGTGAACAATGGTCACAAGTCAGAAAAACGGTCGTAAGTTACTCTCTTTGAGTAACTTGAGTGCTGCTGTAACTTCAGTCACTAAATGAATTATTGTAAGCTGAGGGCTATATATTGGGAGAAAAAAAGAATTTAGTTCAGGTTTTTTTCAACCTCTGCCCCTTTAAGATGGGTGGACTTCAACTCCCAGAATTCCCCAGCCAGCATAGCATAGAATTCTGGGAGTTGAAGTCCACCCATCTTAAAGGGGCAGAGGTTGAGAAACACCGAACTAGCCATTTCCTAGTAAAATCACATTACTTCATTACTACAGGCATTAAATGAACTATGCTTCTGCTACCCCAATACTACGTATAGTAAGCTGGCCGAAGCAATTGGTGCAAAAGATGATATCACTGAAAAAATAAAAATATTTTACCAGGCGTATCTTTAAAAATAAAGAAATACGCATCCCATCCCATCAAATACACACAGGGAATCCTTGAATTACAACCTAAATTGAGCCCAGAATTACAGTCGTAAGTTGCGGTTAAAAGCAAGTCACCTGTTGTTACCACCTTTTTTTTTTTTTTTTTTGGCGCGCTGGTCGTTAAACGAAACCATTTCACTCGACGGGGATTTTTTTTAACTGGAAAGCGGAAGTAGACACTAGAAACCAGCCAAAAACAGGTCATGTGACAGCAGGATGCTGCAAACAGGTATAAATGTGAGCTGGTAGCCAAGTGTCGAAAAATGCAGGTTGCAGTTCTCGTAAGAACCAGTTGGGTCTAGTGGTTAAGGTGTTGACTCTGAAACCAGGAGACTGGAAGTTCTAGTCCCACCTTAGGCATGAAAGCTGGCTGGGTGACTCTGGGCCAATTACCAGGAGATTGGGAGTTCTAGTCCCTCCCTAGGCATGAAAGCCATCTGGGTGACTCTGGGCCAATCACCAGGAGACTGGGAGTTCTAGTGCCACCTTAAGCATGAAAGCTAGCTGTGTGACTTTAGTCCAATCAACTGGAGACTGGGAGTTCTAGTCCCTCCTTAGGCATGAAAGCTGGCTGGGTGACTCTGGGCCAATCACCAGGAGACTGGGAGTTCTAGTCCCTCCTTAGTCATGAAAGCCAGCTGGGTGACTTTAGTCCAATCAACTGGAGACTGGGAGTTCTAGTCCCTCCTTAGGCATGAAAGCTGGCTGGGTGACTCTGGACCAATTACCAAGAGACTGGGAGTTCTAGTCCCTCCTTAGTCATGAAAGCCAGCTGGGTGACTTTGGGCCGATCACCAGGAGATGGTGAGTTCTAATCCTGCCTTTCACATGAAAGCTGGCTGGGTGACTCTGGGCCAATTACCAGGAGACTGGGAGTTGTAGTCCTATTTTAGGCATAAAAGCAAATTGGGTGACTTGACTTTGCCCCAGTCCATCTTTCCCAGTCCAACCCGCCTCACAGGGTTGTTGTGGAGAAACAGGGAGGAAAGTTTGCCGCTTTTTTACTTATAAAAATGGGCTAAAAATCTTAACAAGCCAGCACCTGCTGGGAAGGTCAATTGTTAACTTCAGTTGGTCGCTAAGAGACTGGTCATTAAGTGAGGACTACCTGTATTTCAATTTATTTAATTTATAACCAGTGTATTTGATTTAGTGTATTGAATATAACTGTATATAATGTGTATTTAATCACACTGGCCTCCACCCCGGGAATGTGACTTGAGCCTCCCTGCCCAATGCCATGCCCCACATGGGGCACCTCCCGCCCCAGAGAAGCAAAGTATGACTCCTTCACCCAGGCCTGCAATGGCAGCTATCAGATTAGCCAGCCTTGAGTGAGTGGGAGTGAAAGATCACCCAACACACACCAGATTTTTTAAGGCTACAATCCTTTGCATTTTGCTCCGAAGAGTGACCTTGCCTCCTCTGGGGAAGGCAAGGGAATTTCCACCCCACCTCCTTCTGTCCCAGCAGAAGACATGTGCTCTCCCACTCCTTAAAGCAAAGGTCTCCAATCTTGGCTACTTGTGGACTTCAACTCCCACAATGCCTCAGCCACTCTCCCACCATGGCCAAGTTTAAGATTTATGGACTTCAACTCCCAGAATTCCTCAACCAGTCTGCGACCATGACAAGTTTAAGACTTATGGACTTCCAACTCCCAGAATTCCTCAGCCAGTCTGCGACCATGGCAAGTTTAAGATTTGTGGACTTCAACTCCCAGAATTCCTCAGCCAGTCTGCGACCATGGCAACGTGTGGACTTCAACTCCCACAATGCCTCAGCCACTCTCCCACCATGGCAAGTTTAAGATTTGTGACTTCAACTCCCAGAATGCCTCAGCCAGTCTGCGACCATGGCAAGTTTAAGATTTGTGGACTTCAACTCCCAGAATACCTCAGCCAGTCTGCGACCTTGGCAAGTTTAAGATTTTTGGACTTCAACTCCCAGAATGCCTCAGCCAGTCTGCGACCATGGCAAGTTTAAGATTTGTGGACTTCAACTCCCAGAATGCCTCAGCCAGTCTGCGACCATGGCAACGTGTGAACTTCAACTCCCACAATGCCTCAGCCAGTCTCCCACCATGGCACGTTTAAGACTTGTGGACTTCAACTCCCACAATGCCTCAGCCAGTCTCCCACCATGGCAAGTTTAAGACTTGTGGACTTCAACTCCCAGAATTCCTCAGCCAGTCTGCGACCATGACAAGTTTAAGACTTATGGACTTTCAACTCCCACAATGCCTCAGTCTTCAACCTTAGCAAGTTTAAGATTTTGGGACTTCAACTCCCACAATGCCTCAGCCAGTCTCCAACCAAAGCACGTTTAAGGCTTGTGGACTTCAACTCCCAGAATTCCTCAGTCTCCAACCTTGGCAGGTTTAAGACTTCCTCAGCCAGCAATGCTGAGGCGAGGAATTATGGGAGTTGAAGTCCACAAGTCTTAAATTGCCAAGCTTGGAGACCTCAGCTTTCAGGAGTGACCAGAGGACCTCCAACCCTCCTCAGATGTCTCACCGAAGTGGTCAAGGGAAGGCTGAGCTCAACGGGTGGACAACCTGCCCCTTTTACTTACAGACGACGGAGATCTTCCTCTTGAAGGCCTTGGGCTGAGCTGAACCCTGTGGAGAAAGGGAAGGAAGAAGGGAAGGGAAAGAGAGAGAGAGAGAGAGAAAGAAAGAGGGGGGAGAAATGGGAGAAGGACAGACAAAGAAAGAAAACCCCGTGTAGAGGGGGAAATCAAGTCAGTATCGGGGATTTGAAAAGCGGCCGTCGCATCTGAGGGACATCAAGGGGGAAGGGGGGGGAAGAGAAGGCCTAAATAATGGAGGGGCCCAGATGAAGGGGGTGGGGACGGGCAAAGGGGGTCTCCCGCTGCCTCGGCAATGAAGTGGAGAGGGTAGAAATCTGCCTCTCTAACTTTGCAAGTCCACGAAATCTGGTCAAATTTATTTGCACACGGCTCCTGCCGTCTCCTCCTTGAGGACTAGAAACCTTTTTTTAGAACATTTCTCTATTTGGCCCTTTGGGAGGTCAAAACAGGAAAACCAAAAAGGTTCTAAAAGGGTTTCTAGTCCTCGCGGGGTACGAGAAATTGAAACACGGTTCTGTGGATTTGGGGTGGTTTCCTTGCAGACGTTTCGTTGCCAAGCTAGGTAACGTCATCAGCGTTAGAAGAAAGGAGGGAGGTTTGCAGCATTAACCACACAGTTCAATCCCGAGCTGTAAATATTCTCTTTTATGGGCGTAAATGTTTGCGGAGCTAAAAGTACTCCAGGGATAGGAAATGTAATTGAAAAAGAATGACATACGGGCTGGCTTAAGAAGAAATTTTTAAATGTTTTAATTGGTTTGTGATTTTTAATTTTGGGGCCAAATTGATATATATTTTAATTGTTTTTTAATATTTGTATTTCATGTTCTTAATTCTGACTGTACACCGCCCTGAGTCCTCAGGGAGAAGGGCGGTATATAAATTGGAAATAAAATAAAATAAATAAATATTTAAGACTGAAGTCCACATCCCGCTAGTGACCGGTGAGCAAAACGCACACGGCTTTAGTTAGTTGTGGTGCCAAATTAAGGAACAATTACCAGTTCTACTCAGATCCCCTTTTTATTTGGAAACACGAGAGCTGATTTTCATGAATTTAGCAGTATTTTAACTATTGTTTTCATACATTTGCTTCAGAAAAGTTTTAATAATAGTAAAATAATAATAATAAAAAAAGAATTCCATGGTTATATTTCCTGCTTTTCATAAGTTTTTCCTCAGCGTTTCTTTATTATGGAAAGAAGACTGGATGCTTTTAATGAAAAAAATAAAATAAAATAAGGAAGCTGAAGTGACAGCAAAGGCTGAAATCGGGGGAGGCCCAAATCCTTCGGACTCTACTGCATAGGACTACAGGTACCATTATCCCCAGCCAGCCTACCCTTTCCTGCGCTGACTGGAAATGATGGGAATTGAAAGCCCACACAAAAGGGGGGGGGAACCCACCGCTAGCAATTCTTTAGTATATCCTGTTTCTTTTTTTAAAATTGAAATGTTTTCGCACGCACGCACGTACGTACATACATGCAAGATAGATAGCTATATAGATAGATATAAAAATATATAACTAAAAATCCAGAAAGTGGGGAAAAAATATTTCAGATAAATAGACAGATATAAATAGATAGAGATAAATATAGAGATAGAGAGATAGATAAGATATAAAAATAAATATATAACTAAAAATCTAGAAAGTGGGCAAAAATATTTTAGGCAGACAGATATATAGATAAAGAGATAAATATATAGAGATATATAGAGATGAGAGAGAGAGAGAGAGAGAGAGAGAGAAATAAATATATAACTAAAATCCAGAAAGTGGGCAAAAATATTTTAGGCAGACAGATATATAGATAAATAGATAAGAGATAAATATAGAGAAAGATATAGAGATGCGAGGGAAAGAGAGAGAGAGAAAGAGAGAGAGGGGGGAGGGAGGGATAAAAATATATAACTAAAAATCCAGAAAGTGGGCAAAAATATTTTAGGCAGACAGATATATAAATAGATAAGAGATAAATATAGAGAAAGATATAGAGATGCGAGAGAGAGAGAGATAAAAATATATAACTAAAAATCCAGAAAGTGGGATTTCAGATAAATAGATAGAGATAAATATAGAGATAGATAGATAGATATAAAAATAAACATATAACAAAAAATCCAGAAAGTGGGCAAAAATATTTTAGGTAGACAGATAGAGATAGATAGAGATAAATAGATAGAGAGATATAGAGATGCTATAGATAGATAGATAGATAGATAGATAGATAGATAGATAGATATAAAAATAAATGTATAACTAAACATCCAGAAAGTGGGCAAAAATATTTCAATTTAAAAAACAGAAACAGGATATATTAAAGAATTGCTAGCGGTGGGTTTTCCCTATGTGCTTATATATATATATTTTTTTTTTCAAATACGGCTTATTCGTTTTGAAACAAGCCATGAACGATGACGTCAGATTATTTTAAAATCCTCAGTGGCCTGCCAACGGATATATTAAGTTGACGCAGGCCAGCAGGCAAATAATAACCCGCTTTGATAGTCGGGCTTGCCAAGTTCATTAAGACAAGACTGTCAAGCTTATGGTCAGAGGAGAAAAAAAAAAAAGAAGAAAAGAATGAAGGATAATATAGAAGCAAGTTTTGAATTTTTGCCATTTTAACCCTTGGAGTAGGTTTAAGACAACAGACAGGTTTAAAAATTGGGCCTTTTCATCCTTCTGGTATTTTGGAGAGATTTTACCCAGCTGCAACATTTATTCAGCTATAGGATATTCTTCAAGTAATCCTAATTATGTAGCTCAGAGGTGGGAATTACGGCCCCTTTAAGACTTGCGGACTTCAACTCCCAGAATTCAGCCAGCATGGCTGACTCAGGAATTCTGGGAGTTGAAGTCCGCAAGTCATAAAAGGGCTATAGTTCCCCACCTCTGAGTACAGGTAGTCCTCGATTTACAAGTTCACTTAGGCACCATTCGAAGTTGTAACGGCACTGAAAAAAAAGGGACTTAGAGACCGTTTTTCACACTTATGACCGTTGTAGCATTCCCCACGTGATTTACATTCGGATGCTTGGCAAAACTCACAAAATTTCTTACTCGGCAACATAAATGTTGGGCTCTGTTGTGGTCGTGAAGTCGAGGACTACCTGTGGTTGAAGGCGATACTTCCTGACACTTAGAACAATTAATCAGGGGGTCTCCAGAAATTGTGGGTGCTCCATCCCTTTTGAAAGAAGAGACTGGACAACCATGTGTCTGGAATGGTGTAGAGCAGTGATGGCTAACCTTTTTGCTATTGCGTGCCAGGAAGGGGGCGGGGGAGGTTCGCGCGTGTTCGGGCCCACACCCATAATTCTATGCGCCCCACCCCGTGCATGTGCGAGTGACTCCCCTCCTAGCACGCGATGGCCCAGTAGGCCCTTTTTTCTCTCTCACTTGGCTCCATGCATCTGGGGAGGGCAAAAACAGCCTTCCCCACCCCCTCAGAGGCCCTCCGGAGGCCCATTTTCCAACTTTCAGACTCTCTAGGACTCTCCGGAGGCTGGGGACAGCAAAAAAGTCACTTCCTGTCCAACCGAAAGTTGGAAAACAGCCAACTTTTGTTTCGGGCTTCTGGAGGGCATCTGAGGGTGTGGGGAAGGCTGTTTTTGCCCTCCCCAGATGCATAGAGAGGATCTAGAGCCAGGTGAGAAAGAAAAACAGGCCTTCCCCACTTCCCCAGGCTCTCCGGAGATAGGAAACAGCCTGTTTCTCTATTTCTGGTGGGCCCAGAAGGCGCGTGCCGGACCTGAGCTGGCGTGCCATAGGTTCACCATCACGGGTGTAGAATCTCCTGCTTGAGCAGAGGGTTGGACTAGAAGACCTCCAAGGTCCCTTCCAACTCTTTGTTATTCTTGATGGCTTGCACAATTCCTGATTTTTCCCACCCTCAAGGAACTGTTCCTCTCCCAAGCCAATTTTATGGATTCGCACAAAACCAGGTGGGAAATTGATCTGGAAAATTCCGTCTGTCTCAGGCGAAATTGTTTCCACTCCTTTCTGGCTCTGCTTTCTGGCAATGGTGGGGTTTTTTTTGGGATGCGTGTCAAAGGAAGCATTTTATAAATCGGACTAAACTCTTAATATAAAGGAGAATACTTGTAGCTGAGGGTTGAAATGAATGGGGTGCTCTCTTGAGCTTGGCCAATTTCTAAATAGTCTTCAATTTACGGCCTCAATTGAGCCCAAAATTTCTGTCGTCGAGATGCGTTTAAGTGACTTTTGCCCTGTTTTACAACCTTTCTTGCTACAGTTGTTAAGGGAATCCAGGGTGGATTTGATTTAAATCAGGTCGATTTAAATTGCGATTTAAATCAAGTCGATTTAAATCACAATTTAAATCACCCCCCCCCAAAAATGCTTGATTTAAAGCAGCTCGATTTAATTTTTAAAAGAGCCACTGTCATTTCTGCTGTGAAATTGTGTGAATGCATTGACACAGCGCATGTTAGCTCAGCTTGCAGATTCAGGGAGTTTTACCAAAAAATGTAAATATCGCCGAATATATACAGCCTCAAGCTACATAACTATGCTCCATTTCAGGCCAAATAAACTAAATTATTAAGGTTATCTTAAATAGAAAATTATCTTTAGATAGATTTTTTTTAATTCCAAAAGCATTTTATTAAAATAAATTTGATAAAAATAAAAATAAAAAAACCCGATTTAAACCCCCCTCCTCCCAAAATTGCTTTTTTAAAAAATAAAATCATCGATTTTTATCCAACCCTGACGGAATCAACTGCATTGGTTAACTTGCTAATATAGGTTCTGAAGTGAATCTGGTGTTGGAAAGTCACAAAATGGTCATAAATATGACCCAGTCGCCAAGCATAGGAATTATGACGTGATTACAAAGATGCTGTAAAGTTCGTAACTGTGAAAAATGGTCGTGAAGTCATTTTTTTTCGGTGCCGTCGTAACTTTTAACGGTCATTAAATGAACAGACGGATCAGGTTACCTAGTTTTGGGTAATGAAACGTCTGCGAGAAAGCAAACCAAGCTAAACTCGTTGTGACACCTCAACTCGAGTTGGGGTGTCACAGCAGCCACCGAGACCCCGATATTTGCATTTCTGTAAAAAAAAATATGTATTTCGCTCCGTTCCTTGCTTTGTGGCTCTTCTTCCCTTTTCTGACCCCCTTTTAATTTAGGATAGCCCCACTCTCTCCCCCGAGACAGGGGGTTGGACTAGAAGACCTCCAAGGTCCCTTCCGACTCTTCTATTCTCCATTTCATGGCCGAACAGTGGATGTCCCTCGAAAGGGGCAGGTGAATGGAAACCAGGGGTCGCCCCAATGTCAACACAGGGGGTCACGTTGAACAAGGATTTGGGGAGGGGTGGGAACACACCTCCTAAGCTAATGTCCCAAGACTCCCCATCATTTAAGAAACAAAGAAAGCTGAGGGGGGTGGGAAACCCCTCCATTTTAAACCGTTAACGGGACCCATCCATCCGCCTCCCCTCCGCCCGCCCCGCCGTTCCAATTCTCCCTTTCTCTCTTTTTTTTCTATTTAAATTAAGAACACGAAAGAAAACAAGCCAAAAAAGAAAGAAAGAAAGAAAACAAAACTTTTTTTAAGAAGGAAAAAAAAAAAAAAAAGAGAAAAGAAAAAAAAATTAGGACAAGCGCTCCAGGTACCCTCTCACACCTGGGGCAGGGTCTTCTGTTCAGCCAATCACACCTCAGTGTGTGTGCGCTGTATCTAGGCAACGGCTGGTCCAATCGGAACGAGCCCTCCCTGGCCTGAAAGGTGCGTGCTTGGTTGGGCTGGGTGACAAGAGAGGTGCTGATTGGTTGGCCGGTAGGTAGGTAGTAGGTAGGAACCTAGCGCTTGATTGGCTGGTGGTCGGAAGTCAAAGTGTCCCGGAAGAGAGAGGGCGAGACAGAAGTTGCCCCCCCCCACACACAAGGGCTGAAGTGGGGGGGAGTCAAGGCATCGTCAGTTCTCGGCAGGCGGCTGCGGATTGTCGGGACAGCGGGATGTGGCACTGTCATGTTCGTGGCGGGGACTCTCTTTTTTTAAGTGGAAAGTGTCAGTGAAAACCAACATTCACAAATTGGGGCAGACATCCCAATGACAAGTGAAAACAGGAACTGACAGTCCTTGTTTTTTTTGGAAGAAATAACACAACGCAAGGATGTCCTTGATATGGAAAGACTGTGGGACGCTCCGCGCGCCAAGTCCTCTTTAGGCAAACCTTGGCGCCTCTTGAAAAAAAGGCCACAAACACGTCCTACGCGGGGCTGGTGGAGAAAGCCGGACTTGTGCGAGACGCCACCGCTGCCCCGCAGCAAATTGCCAAAAACGGGTCGAAGACCTCTGCGTACCCGCAGCGTTACGGAGGACAGAAGAACTTCTCCCCCCAAATTCTGGAGCCCGGTCTCAGGAATCGGTAGATGGAACGTTGGATCTGGTGTCGATCTGGTTCCTAGGGATTTGGCGACCGGCGGGGGACTCCCCCATTGGCGGATGGAAAAGTCACTCGGGTGCCGAAACTTCCCGCAAAATCAGGGAAGCCGGCGGGATCGTAAGAGCGACGGGATCGGTGACAAAGATCGGAAGAATTTGGATAGCTCTTCTCAGGACGGGAAAGGTCCCGGGAATTCATCACACGTCGACGGAAGCCTTCCTCGGGACGGTGAAGGAGATGTGGCTTCAAACTGCCCCGGGGAGGTGACGGAACAGGTTGACGTGTTGCGTGACCGTCTTCTGGACACCTCGTTCCGAAGGCCGGCCCAAGTTTTGACCAGGTGGCCTTCCAAAGAGCTGCAGCTTTCACGGATGGTGGAGATGAACAAGGAACCAGTTGAGGTGCACCATCAAGTTTTCGGAAGCACGAGGGAAGCCCCACGGAGCAGGTGGGACTCCGAGAGGCACGTTTCTCTCCGTGGCTACGGATGTCGAGAGGATTTTCCACCGAAGGAAGGCAGAAAACAGTTCCAGGAAGGGCCAAGGAAGATCATCTCCAAAATCTCTCTTTTTTTTCCTCCCGTCCACGGGACGCCTGGCTGCAGCCTGCTCAAACGTGTCCACGCTCTCTCTCTCTCTCCGGTTTCTCTCTCTCTCTCTCTCTCTCACTCTCTCTCTCTCTTTCGCATTCCCAGTAGATTGATGCCTCTTTAAAACGGGGATCAGAACAAACGAGTCCAGAGGAGAACGTCAACGGGGGGAGGGGGGAGAGGGGGAGGTTGTGCGGGGAAGCTATCTTTAGGGTGAGGGGAGAAGCAAGGCCTGTCCCCACCCACCCCTCTCTTCCTCAGCAGCACGGAAAAGCCAGGATCTGAGTTGTGAGTGCAAAATATGTACGTGCGGACGCACAAATGTATTCAATCCCCTCCCCGCAGACCTCCCAGCCCCCTATTACAACCCCCACCCACTTCCCCCCTTTACACAACACAGGGGAAAAAGGCCAAACTATCAGCAATGGCCGAAGGGTAAACCAAATCTTTGCAATGGATCTATAGTTTAGTAAACAACCATCACCACACACAAAAAATAATTAAGCATGCCAAAATGTGCTGGAGAGCGGGAATCCTGGTTAAGGGACTACCGGCTGTAGGGCTGGGGATATTCACTGCTTTGAAAAAACTCAAACCAGTCTTGGCTTAAGGCAGGGCGGATGTGAGAAACATCAGGCTCAGAATGCAGGTTTTTGCCTCCGGACCCAAAAAAAAATAAAATAAAATCATAGCAACCACCAAAACACCCCCGAGATTCTGAATTCTTCCATGTCTCAATATTGCATATTTTCTCTCATTGGGGTATAATTTGGCGCTAAATTGGGACATGAATGCAGGTAGTTTGTTAGCCAAGAAAAATTTAAAAAGGCAATAAGTTATTTTTCCCCCCCTTTCTGCTAGCCATTGGGTGCAGCGTTTGTCAACTGTGGCCATTTTAAGACGTGCGGACTTCAACTCCCAGAATTCCTCAGTCAGCTGGCATGCTTCAACTCCCAGAATTCCTCAGCCAACCGGCATGCTTTTAAGATGGATGGATTTCGACTCCCAGAATTCTCCGGCCAGCTTGCTTTAAGGCGAGTGGACTTCAAATCCCAGAATTCCTCAGCCAACCGGCACGCTTTTAAGATGGATGGATTTCGACTCCCAGAATTCTCCGGCCAGCTTGCTTTAAGGCAAGTGGACTTCAAATCCCAGAATTCCTCAGCCGGCATGCTTTTAAGATGGATGTAGACTTTTGCTGGCTTGGGGAATTCTGGGAGTTGAAGTCCACACATGTCTTAAAAGTGACTACAGTTGTAAAAAACGGCACCGAAGGCTTATTTCTCATCTCTCTTCGTTCTCAGCCTGATAGGCCTAACTATTTTCCAATTGCAGTGGTTTTATTATGTAAAATTAAGGGGGGAGGGGAGGGAAATAAATAAGATTTCCCCCAAGCACACCCAAGTGGAAATTCTCAGGAAGCAGAATTGTACACTCTGGAAAAAAAAAAAAGTGAATTGTGCTGCACCCCATACTCCCCTGCCTTCAAATGGGTGTCACACTAGGAGACAAGTCCCTAGTGGAAAGATTTTGCTGATGGGGGGTGGGGGTGGGGGGGCTTAGATCTCACCAAGCATTCTGAAACACCCCCCCCCACCGGGCCTTTCCTCTCTTCCCATCGCACCCCCCCCCCTCTCCATTGCAGTACCGAATGGCCTTTCACACCTGCCCCAGAAAGCCCCATCCTCCCCAGCCGCTCGGCTGGATCCCCCTAGGGCCCCCTGCCTCTAATGCTGCCGAATGGCGCCTCCTCCCGACACGCTACCCTCTTTCTTCTCCTCGTCTTCGGGCCCGTTTCGGGGCCCGGGGGTCTGCGGAGGGTTGATCCTCGGGCCTCCGGGCTCCAGGGCCTCGTTCTCTGGTTGGGGCTCCGACGACAGCTCCATTGGCATCGTCTGCTTCTCCTCGCTGCGTGAAAAAAAAAAAAGGGGAGAGGCAATCATTGGGGGGGAGGGGAGGGGAACTGGGGGTCGCGAGGGGACAAAGGGCGCCTCGCCGTCGACAACAAGGGGTCTCTGCCCCGCCACAGCAGGGTCTTCTGCCTCCCCCCCCACACCGTCCCAAGAAACCTCTGCCCCACAGCAGCGCCGACTTCCATTCATTGCGCCTTCCTTCCCGGCTACCCGCTGGGGCCTTCGTCTCCTCCACTGCGGCCCGTCTAAAGGTGACTTCTCCATCCCCGAGCATCCTTGGAGTATGTTTCCCCCAATTTCAGAGTAACATCCTCCCACACACACACACACACAACACACAAGAGACGGGCCTTTTTTTAACCCGGTTACAAGCTTCCCCAAACAAGGGGAGGAATCAGAATCCAAAGGGGGTGGGCAGGCATCCGGACCAGACCCCCCAAATGGCCGAGCCCCTTCCCAAACCACCCACCTGAATCTCCTTTCATGTCGCATATTCCATCCCCCGGTCAATTACACCACAAGCCTTCCCATCTCAAAGCCCACCCCACCCACAACCCCATCGTCTCGCCCGTCCCTTGGGGGGGGGGGCCGGGCCACCTCCTCGTCCTGGGGGCCCCCCCTACTGTTGCTGGGGAGGAGGGCAGGGGTGACCGCCGAGGGCCAGGAGCAGAAAACAGCAGCTAGAGAGCAGAAAGAGGGAAGGAGATGGGGGGGGAGGCAGACACATACACGTGCAGGATGAAAGAGGGAGCGGGGAAGGAGGGGGAAGGAAGAGAAGAAGCAAAAAAAAAAAATCTCTCTGCAGAGAAAAGGGCAGGCGGTGAAAAAAAAAAGGGGGGGGGAGAGAGAAAGAGGAGATGGGTGGCTGAGCCTTGGAGGAGGTGGGGTGGGAGGGAGGAGAATCCAGTGGAGAAAGCAGCTGGAAAGCAGGCAAAGAACCTGGACTGCTGGGGGAGGATAGATAGATAGATAGATAGATGGATGGATGGATAGATGGATGGATGGATGGAGAAGGGAGAGAGATAGAGATGGGGAAGGGAGGGAGCAGAGGAGAAGCAGCTGGAAAGCAGGCAAAGAACCTGGACTGCTGGGGGGTAGAGATAGAGGATGGATGGATGGATGGATGGAGATAGATAGATATATGATAGATAGGGGAAGGAGGGGGCAGAGGAGAAAGCAGCTGGAAGGCAGGCACAAGACCTGGACTCCTGGGGTGGGGGCAGAAAGATAGAGTATGAAAGGATGAAGATAGGGAGTGTGAGGAAGGGAGGGCAAGGAGGAAGCAGCTGGAAGACAGCAGAGGCTGGGATTCGTGGGGGGGGAAGAGCAGATAAGATTGGGTGAAAGATAGATAGAGAGAGAAAGATAGATAGATAGATAGATAGATAATAGATGGAAGGGAAGGAGGGGCAACCGAGGAAGCAGCTGGGAGACAGGCAGAGGCTGGGATTGGGGGGGGGGGGAAGAGAGATAGAGATTGAATGTAGATAGATAGATAGATAGATAGATAGATAGATAGATAGATAGATAGATAGATAGATAGATGGATGAATGGATGGGAAGGAGGGGGCACCGAGGAAGCAGCTGGGACAGGCAGAGGCTGGGATTCTTGGGGGGGGGAAGAGAGAGAGAGAGAGAGAGAGAGAGATAGAATGTGATGGATAGATAGATGGATGGATGGCAAGGATGGATGAGATGGAAGGAGGGAGGGGGGCAGCCGAGGAAGCAGCTGGAGGCAGGCAGAAGCTGGATTCTTGGGGGGGGGGAGAAAGAGAGAGAGAGAGATTGGATGGAGATAGATTAGAATAGATGGATGGAAGGAGAGAGAGATATATTAGATAGATGGATGGAAGGGAGGGGGCAGAGGAGAAGCAGCTGGAAGGCAGGCAGAGGAGCCAGACTGGGGGGGGGAGGGGAGAGAAAGGATGGAGGGAGGGAAGGAAGGAAAAGGGAACAAGGGGAAAGCAAGCAAGCAAGCGGAGGGAGGGGGGGGAGGGGGGGGAAACCCCCGCAGTGAAAGTGGGACCTCCTGGGAAGAAAGGGAAAGCGAGGCGGCCTCGCCAGGGAGGAGGGGGGGCTATTGCACCCTGTCAAAGGGAAGGGCAGAGGCGCTGGGAAAGGGGGGGGAGGGCTTGGCTGGAGGGAAGAAGAAAATGGAGGGCAGAGGAGGAAGGAGGAAGGGGGGAGGGGAGGGGAGGGGAAGAGCCCAGGAGGCGCGAGGCAAAAAAAAAAAAAAAAGGGAGGGGGGAGGAATGAATGAATGGAGGGAGGGAGGGAGGAAGAAGGAGAGAATGGCGCAGGAGAGGGAAGGGAAGGGAAGGGATTTAGGGAAGGGAGGGGATTTGGGGAGCGCTGCGGAGGGCAGCCAAGGCCGGCCGGGGCCCTTTTCCCGGTCTCACCCTCCCTTGCTCTCGGAGAGCAGCATGGCCGGAGGGAATCGGGGATCGGCTTTCCTGGGCTCCGCCTTCTCAGCAGTCCCGCGGGAGGCGGCGGCGGCGGCGGCGCAGAGGCGGGGACGGAGGCCCGGGCGACGGCGGGAGCCCCGGCGCAAGAGCGGAGCCGCGGACGGGCGGCGGCGGGGCCATCTTGCCGGGCGCCGAGGCTCTTTTTTTTTTTTTTTTCCTCTCCCCTCCTTTCTTTTTTTTTTTTTTTTCCCGGCAGCCCCCGGGCGGTCTTCCGGGGGGGGGGGGGAGAAAGAGAGCGAGAGATAAAGGAGGGGGAAAGAGGAGGATAAAGAGACTCCCCTCCCCTCCCCTCCGAGGGGCGGGGCAAAAGCGGCGAAGGGGAAGAGGGACCCTCCCCAATACGGCAGAGGTGGGTGGGCGCTGCAGGAGGCGTCCCCTTTAACAGCCCTCCCCCACCCCAACCGGTCAAGCCCACGTGACCCTTCCATTATTAAAAGGCTGCGGGAGGCGTCCCCTTTAAAAGCCAGCCTCCCCCCCTTCCCCACCCAACCGGTCAAGCCCACGTGACCCTTCCATTATTAAAAGGCTGCGGGAGGCGTCCCCTTTTTAAAGGCCAGGCCCGGACACTCAATCCGCCCCCATCCGTCCCTCCGTCCGACCGACCAACCGGTCAAGCGCACAGCGGGGACCTTCCCTTAAGGGAGGCTGCGGGATGCGTCCCCTTTAAAGGCCAGCCCCCCCCCAATCCAACCGGTCAAGCACACATGAAAGCTTCCCTTAGTGGCTGCAGGGATCCAGCCCTCCATCCAACCAACCGGTCAAGCGCACACAGGTACCTTCCCTTTGAGGCTATAGGATCCATCCCTCCATCCAACCAACCAACCGGTCAAGCGCGCATGGACCTTTCCTTAGTGGCTGCAGGAATCGAACCGGTCAAGCGTGCAGGAAACCTTCCCTTAGAAAGCTGCAGGAGCCCATCTCCTTTTAAATGGCCCGACACCCCATTCCCCCTCCATTCCCACCAACCAACCAACCAACCAACCGGTCAAGCACGCAGGAACTTCCCCTTAGGACAGTGTTTCCCAAACTTGACCCTTTGAAGATGTATGGACTTCAACTCCCAGAATTCCTCACCCAGGCATACTGGCTGGGGAATTCTGGGAGATGAAGTCCATGCATCTTAAAATAGCCAAGTTTGGGAAACACTGCCTTAGGAGGCTGCAGGATGCATCTCTTTTAGAAGCCAGGCCCCCATCCAACCGGTCAAGCACACATGAACTTTTCCTTAGAGGCTGCGGGATCCATTCTGCCCCCCTCCCCCCATCCAACTTGCAGGAACCTTCCCTTAGGAGGCTGCAGGGTGCATCCCCTTTAAAGGCTAGGCCCCACTCCAACTGGTCAAGCACAGAGATACCTTCCTTAGAGGCTGCAGGAGCCATGGAATCCATCCATCCAACCGGTCGAGCACAAATGAACCTTCCCTTAGGAGCCTGCAGGATCCATCCCTTTCAAAGGCCAGCCCCCAATCCAACAGGTGGATCCATCTCTTGTAAGGATCAGCCCCCAATCCAACCGGTGAAGTGCACAGGAGCCTTCTTTTTAGGAGGCTGCAGGATGCATCACTTTTATAGACAAGCCCCCCCCCCCCCCCCCCCCTCAACAGGTCAAGCGCACAGGTACCTTCCATTAGAGGCTGCAGGATGCATCTCTTTTTAGAGGCCAGGCCCCCATCCAACCGGTCAAGCACACATGAAACCTTCCCTTAGTGGCTGCAGGAACCCATCCCTCCATCCAACAGGTCAAGCGCACAGGTACCTTCCATTAGAGGCTGCAGGATGCATCTCTTTTTAGAGGCCAGGCCCCCATCCAACCAGTCAAGCACACATGAAACCTTCCCTTAGTGGCTGCAGGAATCCATCCCTCCATCCATCCAACTGGTCAAGCGCGCAGGTACCTTCCCTTAGAGGCTGTAGGATCCTTTCCCCCCCCCTCCAACAGGTCAACGCGCGCAGGTACCTTCCCTTTGAGGCTGCAGGATCCATCCCCCCAACCGGCCAAGCACGCACACATGAAACCTCCCTTATAAGCTGGAGGGACCCCCCCTATTAAAGGCCAGCCCCCCCCCCCCCCACATCCAACTGGTGAAGCGTGCAAGAACTTTCCTTACTTAAGAGCCTGCGGGATCCATCCCCCCCATCCAACTGGTGAAGCGTGCAGGAACCTTCCCTTAGGAGGCTGCAGGATACATCCCCTTTAAAGACCAGTTCCCCCATCCAACTGGTGAAGCATGCAGGAACCTTCCCTTAGAGGATGTGCGATCCGTCTCTTAAGAGGCCAGGCCCCCATCCAACCGGTCAAGCCCGCTGGAACCTACCCCGAGCGGTTCCAGACATAGGGCATTGAAAGCAGCCAATGCTCAACCCTCCTGGAAGGTAGGTAGGTTGTGTGTTTGTGGTCCAGGGAGCTAAGAGGCCAGGAAACGGGATCCACCCTCTGCGCATGGCCCGTCTGACCGATTCCAAGCCAAGCTGGGATCTAGACGGCTGGGGTTGGCTGGGCGCCCCTTTTCACGACCCTAAAATCCCTTAATTCGGGCTAGAGTCGGGGGAGAAGGGGGCGGCGACCCGATGGGAAAAATCCCTTTTAAAAACTGCAAATAATTGTAAGGTTCCCCTCGCACCTATGTGCTAGTCGTCCCCGGCTCTAGGGGGCGGTGTGTCATCTCCGTTTCAAAGCCGAAGAGCCGGCGCTGTCCGAAGACGTCTCCGTGGTCAGGTGGCCGGCATGACGCCAAAGGCGCACGGAACGCTGTTTGCCTTCCCGCCAAAAGTGGTCCCTATTTTTTCTACTTGCAAATTTTTTTTAACGTGCTTGCGGACTGCTAGGTTGGCAGAAGCTGGGACAAGGAACGGGAGCTCACCCCGTGATGCGGCGCTCGGGATTCGAACCGCTGAACTGCCGACCTTTCGATCGACAAGCTCAGCCACCCTTGCGTGGGATATCCTCCTGGCCGGACACTTTAAAACGGCCAAAAATGACTTAGTCCCAGTGAAAGAGGCCACGGTCTGGTCAGTTCCTCAGCAATACGGGGTCTCGAACCTCATTCTTTTTCCTGCAGCCGTTCCATAGAGAGCCTAATGTTGTCTCCTGCGCTTTGATTGACCTTCCCAAATCTAACAGATTAAGAGTTGGAAGGGACCTTAGAGGTCAGCGATGGCTAACCTTTTTGCCGTCGCGTGCCAAAAGTGGGGGGCGCGCGCGGAGGGGGGTCTTGCGCATGCGTGCCCACACCCATAATTCAATGCCCCCCACGCCCTTCACGCTTTTGGCACACGAAGGCAAAAAGGTTTACCGGTAGGCCCGTTTTTCACCCTTCCCAGGCACCAGAGCCTTTCTTGGAGCCTGGGGAGGGCAAAAACGGCCTCTCCCCACCCCCGAGGCCCTCTGGAGGCTGGAAACGACCCGTTTCCCGACTCCAATTGGGCCCAGAAGGCCCGAAAATCAGCTGGCTGGCGCGCGCATCCACGCTGGAGCTGAGCTCGCGTGCCCACAGATACGGCTCCACGCGCCACCTGTGGCACGCGTGCCATCGGTTCGCCATCACGGTTATAGGTCATCTAATCCACCCCCCACCCCCCCCCCACGCCAGGAGCTTCCTTTGTGGTGGCTCCTTCTCTGAAGAACATCATCCTTGCCGATAAAAGACGATCGAGTGAGCTACCCCATCATGGCTCAGCCCTCCCTCCCGCCCGATACTCACATTTTGCGGCGCGGCGGCTCGAGCGGGCGCGGCGGCTCCGAGGCAGCACCCCCGATGTCTACGGCAGAACCCTCCGTCGGAAAAGGGGGCTCTGGGCTGCCCTATGGAGTGGGGGGGGAAAAAGGGTTAATTTAGCAGGAAGGGGCCACAGGGCCCAGTCTCTTGACTACCCCCGCCCCCCCCCCCCCCAATTTCAGATGAAGCGGAGCTGGGGCCCCCCCCCCCCCGCGTCTTGGAACGTCCCCGTACTCGTTCTGGAAACGTGCTCTCGGCCTGCGTGCCGCGTGCTGGTGGTTGCTGTGGTGGTGGTGGGGTGTGGCTGTGTTGCCTCGGAGGAGGGGAGGGGGTCCGTCTCCCTTCTTCCCTAGGGCTGGATGGGCCCTCTTGGTGCTGGGCTTTGGGGCTGTGGGGCGGGAGGCAGGCCCCGGGTTGGGAGGGCTCTTTGGTGGGGGGGAAGCTGGTGCTGTCCCGCGAAGCTTCGTGGCTGCGGGACTGGGGAAGAAAAAGAAAAGAAGAAAAAAAAGAAGAAAAGAAAATAGAATTTTTTGGCAAACTTCTCGGTTCTCCCGCTGTTCTCCGAAAAGGTGAACTATAGGACTGACTTTTCTTTCTTTCCTTCATTTCTTCCCTCTCTGATTTCCTTCCTTCCCTTTCTTTTTCTTTCTACTTTATTCCCTTTTCCTTCCTCCCCCTCATTGCCTGCCTTCCTTCCTTTGCTTCCTCTTCCTTCCTTTCTCCCCTTCCTTCCTTTCCTCCATTCCTTTCTTCCTTCCTCTCATTCCTTCCCTTTCTTTTTCTTTCCTTCCTTCTTCTTTCCTTCCTCTCTCATTTGCTTTCTACTTTATTTTCTTTTCCTTCCTTCCTCCCCCTCATTGCCTTCCTTCCTTCCTATTCCCCCCTGCCTTTCTTTCTTCATCTTCCTTCCTTCCTCTCTCGTTTGCTTTCTACTTTATTCCCTTCCTCCCCCTCATTGCCTGCCTTCCATTCCTTTCTTTCCTCTTCTCCCTTCCTTTCTCTCTCTTCCTCTCCTTCCTTCCTCTCATTTGCTTTCTACTTTATTCCCTTTTCTTTCCTTCCTCCCCCTCATTGCCTTCCTTCCCTTTCCTTCCTCTTCCTCCTTCCCTCTTTTCCTTCCTTCCTTTTTTCTTTCTACTTTATTTCCTTTTCCTTCCTTCCTCCCCCTCATTGCCTGCCTTCCTTCCTCTCCTTCCTTCTTCCCTCCCTTCTTTCCTGCCTTCCTCTCTCGTTTGCTTTCTACTTTATTCCTTTCCTTCCTCCTTCCTCCCCCATTGCCTTCCTTCCCTTCCTCTTCCTCCCTTCCTCTCCTTCCCTCCCCTCCCCTCTCTTTTCCTTCCTTTTTCGTTCTACTTTATTCCTTCTTTTCCTTCCTTCCTTCCCCTCATTGCCTGCCTTCCTTCCTTTCCTTCCTTCCTTCCCTCCCTTCTTTCCTTCCTTCCTCTCTCTCGTTTGCTTTCTACTTTATTCCTTTTCCTTCCTTCCTCCCCCATTGCCTTTCCTTCCTTCCTCTTCCTCCCTTCCTCTCCTTCCTCCCCCTCCTCTCTTTTCCTTCCTTTTTCTTTCTACTTTATTCCCTTTTCCTTCCTTCCTTCCCCTCATTGCCTGCCTTCCTTCCTTTCCTTCTCTTCCCCTTCCTTCCTGCTTTCTTTCCTTCCTTCCTTCCTCCTTCCTCTCTCGTTTGCTTTCTACTTTATTCCTTTTCCTCCTTCCCTTCCTCTCCTTCCCCCCCTCCCTCTCTCCTTTCTTCCTTTTTCTTTCTACTTTATTCCCTTTTCCTTCCTTCCTCCCCCTCATTGCCTCCCTCTTTCCTCCTCCCTCCCTTCATTTTTTCATTCATTCATTCATTCATTCAATTTTCTATAGAAGAGAATTCAGGTAGTCCTCAACCTACACCACTTCATTTAGGGACCGTTCAAAGTTACAACGGCTCTGAAAAAAGTGACTGGGGACCATTTTTCACCCGCATGACCGTCGCAATATCCCCTCGATCACATGATCAAAATTCAGACGCTTGACTTGACTCATACTTATGACGGTTCATGTGATCCCGGGTCATTTGACACACCACAGACCCCCCCCCTTTTGTGACCTTCCGGCAAGCAAAGTCGACGGGACAAACTGGATTGGCTTAACAACCCATGTTGACTACCTTAAGAACCGCAATGATTCACTTAACGACCGTGGCAAGAAAAGCCGTAAAATGGGGGGTACGATTCACGTAACAAACATCTCACTCAGCAACGGAAATTTGGGGCTCAATTGTGGCCGTATGTCGAGGACTCGCTGTATTATGTAGCTCAGGGGCGAACTGTGGGGGTCCCGGTGACGTTTCATATCCAAACTAGGGAACATCATCAATGCCAGCGCTAACATCACGTCAGCACTGATGATGTTACCTAGTATGGTCATAAGACGTCTGCCAGAAAACCACCAGAGAGCAGCGGGACCTCACAGAATATAGGGTTAATTCCAGGGGTGGATTCAAAAAATTTAACAACCGGTTCTCTGCTGGGTGGCCGTGGCCATGGTGGCCGTGGCCTACTCAGCCTCCTGCACCACGGTGGGGTGGGTATGCGTTTTCACCCTCTCCAAGCTCTGGAGGCGTTCCTTGAGTCTCCGGGAGTGCAAAAACGGCCTCCCCTGGGCTCTGGAGGCCGGAAACGGGCCTGTTTCTGGACTTCTGGGAGGCCTGTTTTTCACCCTCCCCAGGCTCTGGAGGCTTTTTTCGAGCCTCGGGGAGGGCAAAAACGGCCTCCCCTGGGCTCCAGAGGCCGGAAACGGGCCTGTTTCTGGACTTCCGGGAGGCATGTTTTTCACCCTCCCCAGGCTCTGGAGACTTTCTTTGAGCCTCCGGGAGGGCAAAAACGGCCTCCCCTGGGCTCCAGAGGGGGGAAATGGGCCCGTTTCTGGACTTCCGGGAGGCCTGTTTTTCATCCTCCCTAGGCTCTGGAGGCTTTCCTTGAGCCTCCGGGAGGGCAAAAACGGCCTCGCCTGGGCTCCAGAGGCGGGAAACGGTCCCGTTTCTGATCTTCCGGGAGGCCTGTTTTTCACCCTCCCTAGGCTCTGGAGACTTTCTTTGAGCCTCCGGGACGGCAAAAACGACCTCCCCTGGGCTCCAGAGGCCGGAAATGGGCCCGTTTCTGGACTTCCGGGAGGCCTGTTTTTCACTCTCCCCAGGCTCAAGGCATTTTTTGAGCCTCAGAGAGGGCAAAAACTGCCTCCGCTGGGCTCCAGAGGCCTGTTTTTCACTCTCCCCAGACTCTGGAGACTTATTTTGAGCCTCCGGGAGGGCAAAAACGGCCTCTCCTGGGGCTCCAGAGGCCGGAAACGGGCGCATTTCCAAACTTCCAGGAGGCCCGTTTTTCGCCCTCCCAGAGCCTCCATGCCGGGCCTGCACTTACCTGGCATCCAAAATGGGCCACATGGAGAATCCTGGGAGGGACGGGGCAGGGGGGAGGGGCAGCCAGTCCTTGCAACTACCGGTTCGGCGAACTGAATGTAAAATTAGCATCCGGTTCTCTCAAACCGGCTGAATCCCACCCCTGGTTAATTCTATGGATTTCCCACTGAATCAGCTGAAAATCTACATTTACGTACATTTTCCTCTTTGAAAACATTAACATCTAGATGCTCGTTTGTTTTCAAAGAGGAAAATGTACGTTTTTAAAATGTTTTCATCTAATTTATAGAAAGCATAGTTTCCGTTGCCTTAGACCAAACGCTTTTCACAGAGAAAGGAAGATATATCTTATAAGGCCTCTGCCGTTTGTTATACTTTCAATAGATTCGAGCAATGCCAAACCATCAAATGAAGATGCCTCTTTTTTAAAAAAAAACAGCTGGACTTTTGTACTTCAATGACTCGATATCAATTCTGGAGATATTTACGAGTCTTTTTACGAAATTCGCTGGCTTTGAAGACACTTGTGTCAGACAAACGACCGGAGGGGGATAGCATCTCTCAAATTGGATAAAAACTGGAAAAAATTGGGCTTTTTTAAAAAAAAGCATCCTGAAGTTCTTTAAACTAAGCTCCCTGACTCATTTTGCTTTTTTTTTTTTTTGGCAAGCTGCGAAATGCATCTTTTTTTTTAAAAAAGACACAAAACTTGAAAACGCTTGACTGCGAGTGAGTGGGAAGGTGTCTAAAATCCAATTATTATTAGGAAGAAAGCGAATACTATCTTGTATGGCACCAATGGTATCAATGGCTGGAAAGGAAAATCAGCAAAAATGTAGACGACAGAAATTAGGGTAAAGACTTGCATAAGGAGATGAACTTATAAATAATGTAAACTTATAGTGTAAGGTTATAACATTGGAATCAGATATTTAATAATTACTCTTTATTAAACTATATAAGCTCAATGACATATATTCTGTTGATGACAAAAACGTATATGTAAAATGTTAGGTGGGTTTGTAGGTGGTGGGTTTTTTGTTTGTCATTGTATTGTATTGTCTTTATATCTGTGTTTATATTTTAATAATAAAAAAAAATTAAAAAAATAAAAAATAAAATCCAATTATTACTTTACATCAAATATTCCCATTATCCCCTGAAAAAAGTTCAAACTTGTTCGATGCTGGAAATATAGATGGGAGTGGCAATGTCCCACAAGGTTCCTGCAGCTCTGATTTAAGCCAACAGTTCTAGGGCCTGGGTTCAAAATGCGGCCTTGCTAGCAAAGAGCTACGCTTATACAGCTAGTCCTCGACTTACGACCACAATTGAACAAAACATTTTCTGTTGCTGACTGTATGTATATAGCATGTCTCCACAGGTAGTTCAACCCTAGGTAGAGGCAGATATTTCTCTCTCTGGGCAATGATGAGAATATATCTGCTGAACAAAACTCCGCACTTGCAACAGGAAGAGCATCCGGCCAGTAAACACTCAGCTCCATTCGGTTGCCCAGACTCCACCCTGCAAGGGATTACGGGATCGTTAAAAGAAGATGATTCATTGGTTGGTTGGTTCATTCATTCACTGAGTGGTGTGGTGGCCTAGAGGTGGAGCTCTCGCCTCACTATCAAGAGGCTGTGAGTTCAATCCTAGGTAGAGGCAGATTTTTCTCTCTCTGGGCACATTGATAATATATATCTGCTGAACAAAACTCCGCACTGGCAACAGGAAAGGCATCTGGCCAGTAAACCCTCAGCTCCATTGAGTTGCCCAGATTTCACCCCGCAAGCGATGATGGGGTCATTGAAAGATGATGGTGATACAGGTCGTCCTCAACTTACGATAACTGAGCCCCAAATTTCTGTCGCGGAGCGAAAGATTTGTTAAGTGAGTTTTGCCCCCATTTTACGACCTTTCTTGCCATATTTGTTAGGTGAATCCCTAACAAATTTGTTGTTAAAAGTTAGCAAACAAAGTTGTTACAAGTTAGTAACCCTGTAGCTTTCCCCATTGATTTCGCTCATCAGAAGGCAAAAAGGGGATCGTGTGACTCGGTGGTGGGTTTCAAATTTTTTTTTACTACTGGTTCTGTGGGTGTGGCATGGCTTGGTGGGCGTGGCTTGGGCGTGACAGGGGAAGGATACTGTAAAATCTCCATTCCCACCCCACTCCAGGGGAAGGTTACTGCAAAATCCCCATTTCTTCCCAATCAGCTGGGACTCGGAAGGCAGAGAATAGATGAGGGCAGGGCCAGTCAGAATTTTTTACTACCGGTTCTCCGATCTACTCAAAATTTCCGCTACTGGTTCTCCAGAACTGGTCAGAACCTGCTGAAACCCACCTCTGACGCGACCCCAGGACACTGCGACCGTCATAAATATGTACTAGTTGGCAAACCTCCAAGTTTTGAAGACGTGAGTATGAGTGGATGCTGCAATGGTGTGAAAAACGAACACAAATCGCTTTTTTCGGCACTGTTGTAACTCCAAACGGTCGCTAATTGAACTGTTGTAAGTTGTGACCTATAAAATTTCCCAACTTGGATGTAAAGACACAACCGTCGTAGGGGGCGTAAAGAAGCTCCCGAGCCCACTTACCTTGCTGCTGCTGCTGTCCCCACTGCTGGAACGGGACCGGGAGCCCAAACTGCTACGCCGCTCCGAGCCGGAGCGGGATCGAGATTCCAAAGCTGGCCGCTTCCGAGGCGGTGATTCGGAGGAAGCGGAGCGGGTCCTCCTAGCCCGGGAGCGGAGCGGCGAGCTGCCTGGGGAGCGGGAACGAGAGCGGGAGGAGCTGGAGGATGAGGACGAAGAGGAACGGGAGCTGCCGGGCCGTACGGACTGGTGTGGCGGGAGCACCAAGGGGGACGGTGAGGCTCCCAGGCTGACCGCAGCCGGTGCTTCCTGAGCGGGGGGAGACGGTTGAGAGAGCTGAGGAGGGGCTTCGTCTTCCGCAGGAGCGAGTCCCGCAGGGGCTTCCTTAGTTAGGAGGGGCGGAGGCGGCTCGTCCCCCCGTGGATCCTGTTGGGATTGTTGTGCTTCGGTCAGCTGCGGGGGAGACGGAGAGGCCTGCACCAGTGCCGCCGCGGCTGCAGACGCTTCTTCCTCTAGGCTGCGCAGCGCCTGGGCTGCCACCGCTTCTGGGGTCCCCTCGCTCTGGGGTTCGCCCTCCTTCTGCAAAACGACAACCGCCGGGGTCTCGCCCTGCTCCATCATCTCCTCCTCCTTCTCCTCTTGGGGAGTTTCTGTCGACCTCGGCTCCTTCGGAAGGCCCGGGTCTTCCTTGGTCTCCATTTTTAAGGCTTCGGGTAACTGGGGTGCAACCTCCTTTGGGGGATCTGGGAGGGGATCCTTTTCCACGGGGGATTTCCCTGGGGTTAGAGCCGCCTGCTGCTTTTCTCCGGGGTCTGTCGCCCGGGGCTGAGCCTCCTCGTCTTCTGACCTCTGCAAGTGCGCAAGGACTGGCATGGCGGCTTCGCCGCTCGGGCTGTCTGGCGTCTGAGAGCGAGTCTCCGTTTGCTGGGCTTGCACAACGATGGGCAGGGAAGCTTGGAACATGCCCGTTTCTTGGGGAGCCGGCATGCCTGGCTCCTCTGGCCTCATGGGCGTCTGGCCGACCAGCAAAGGGGGCGCATCTTCCTCTTCCTCCTCCTCCTCTTCTTCTTCCTCCTCCTCCTCTTCTTCTTCCTCCTCCTCCTCTTCCTCCTCTTTTACTGGCACCCGCTGGGCAGCTCTCCGACTCCGAAGGGAAGTTTCCCGCTCTTCACTCACCAGCGCATGGCCGCCTCCTGCGGTCTTCACTGCTCGGGCCTAAAGGAGAAGGGTAGAATAGATTACTGTATGGCAGGAAGCCTCTGATGATTGCATGGCTCAGGTGGGCATGGGGGTGGGGCAGAGATTTTTGCTACCAGTTATTATTATTATTATTTATTGAATTTGTATACCGCCCTACTCCCGAAGGACTCAGGGCGGTGAACAGCCAAATAAAAGACATATAATACAAATGTTAAAAAACCATTAAAATACAATTAAATAATTGGCCCGGAAACAAAATTTAAAACACCCCAAATTCATGAGACAAATTTAAAATTTAAAAATTTTAAAAGTTATTTAAAAAGTTTAAAAGAGAGGTTAGGCCAGGCCGGCCTGCTGGAAAAGAAATGTTTTGATGGCAGGGCGGAAAGCGCGCAGGTCCGGGATCCTCCGTATCTCCGGGGGGAGCTCGTTCCAGATGGCAGGTGCCCCCACAGAAAAGGTTCTCCCCCTGGGGGCCGCCAGTCGACATTGTTTGGCCGACGGCACCCTGAGGAGCCCCTCTCTATGGGAGCGTACTGGTCGGTGAGAGGCTACTGGTGGCAGAAGGCGGTCTCGTAGATACCCCAGTCCTAAGCCATGGAGCGCTCTAAAGGTGGTAACCAAAACCTTGAAGCGCACCCAGAAGACCACTGGGAGCCAGTGCAGCTCATGCAGGAGGGGGAACACATGGGAGCGCCCCGTCGTTCCCATAACCACCCGCGTGGCCGCATTCTGGACCAGCTGGAGCCTCCGGGTGCTCCTCAAGGGGAGCCCCATGTAGAGAGCATTGCAGTAGTCCAGGCGGGAAGTGACGAGGGCATGAGTGACCGTACTTAACGAGTCCCGATCCAGAAAGGGACACAACTGGCGAATCAGACGAACCTGATAAAACGCCCTCCCGGCCACAGCCGTCAACTGCTCTTCTAAAGACAGCTGTGAATCCAGGAGGACCCCAGAGTTGCGAGCCCTCTCCATGGGGCCAATGAGTCACCCCCAGTAGTCAGTGATGGCACCAACTGACTATATCGGGATGTCGGAAACCACAGCCACTCGGTCTTGGATGGGTTGAGCCTGAGTCTGTTCCTCCCCATCCAGATCCGTACAGCCTCCAGGCACCGGGACATCACTTCAAGGGCATCATTGGCGTGGTCCGGGGTGGAGATGTACAGCTGGGTGTCATCAGCGTACTGGTGGTACTTCACCCCGAAACCACGGATGATCTCACCCAGCGGCTTCACATAAATGTTGGACAGAAGGGGCGAGAGGACCGACCCTTGTGGCACCCCACATACAAGGGGCCTCGGGGTCGACCTCTGCCCCCCTGCCAATACTGACTGCGACCGGTCAGAGAGGAAGGAGGAGAACCACCGCAACACGGTGCCTCCCACCCCTAGCTTTTCCAGCCGCTGCAGCATGATACCATGGTCGATGGCATCAAAAGCTGCTGAGAGGTCTAACAGGACCAGGACAGAGGAGCAACCCCTGTCCCGAGCCCTCCAGAGATCATCAACCGATGCGACCAATGCCGTTTCCGTGCTGTACCCAGGCCTGAAGCCCGACTGGAACGGATCCAGATAAGCCGATTCATCCAGGTACTGAGGGAGCTGTCGTGCTACCACACTCTCAACAACCTTCGCAACAAAGCGAAGGTTGGAGACTGGACAGTAATTTGCCAATACTGCCGGGTCCAGGGAAGGCTTCTTGAGGAGAGGTCTCACCACCGCCTCTTTCAAGGCGGCGGGAAAGACACCCTCCGAACCACCTGCCAACATCGCTACTGGATCGGGCGATCCGGTCCGAACCGGGAGCATTTCACCCCTGGCTGTGAGCCTGTTTGCAACTGGGCCGCAGAAGCGACGGGTGTATCCCCACCTGCGTGAGCTGCACACAAGCAGAGGCCACGCGTGCCTGACACTCACAAAAATGGCTCTGTATGTGTGCGCTTGCCGGCCGCTCAAAGCAGAACCATCCCTTCTTCCTGCCATTCCGCAAATCGGGAAAGGCTTGGGAAATCCCTCGTGGTGTCTAATCACACAATGGCCAATAAAGCAGTATTAATTGCGCGAGCTGCACTGCGCGAGCTGCACTGGCTCCCGCTGGTCTTCCGGGTGCGCTTCAAGGTGTTGGTTATCACCTTTAAAGCGCTCCATGGCATAGGGCCTAGCTATCTGCGAGACCGCCTGCTGCTACCGACGACCTCCCATCGACCCGTGCGCTCCCACAGAGAGGGCCTCCTCAGGGTGCCATCAGCCAAACAATGTGGGCTGGTGACCCTCAGGGGGAGGGCCTTCTCGGTGGGGGCTCCCACCCTCTGGAATCAGTTGCCCCCGGAGATAAGGAGAATCCATGACCTCAATGCCTTCCGTCGTTCCCTTAAAACCCATCTTTTCCAGCAAGCCGGGTTGGCTTAAGAAGAAATTTTTAAATTCTTTTAATCAGTCTGTGATTTCTTAACTTTCGGGCCAAAATTTATATATATTTTTAAATGTTTTTAATATTTGTATTCTATGTTTTTTATCTTGGCTGTACACCGCCCTGAGTCCTCAGGGAGAAGGGCGGTATATAAATTGGAAATTAAATTAAATTAAATTAAATTAAATTGGCCAAGTGCGATTAGACACCACGAGGGATTCATCTCGGATGCACAAGCTGTCAGCGTTAACAGGTAGACCTCAACGTACGACCACGATTGAGCCCAAACTTTCTGCGAAAACGCATGCTGAGTGAGCTTGCCCCCATTTTACGACTTTTCTTGCCGCGGCGGTTGTTAAAGTGAATCGGGCTTCCCCACTGACTTTGCTCGGAAGGTGGGCAAAGAACATGTGACCGCTGGACGCGGCAACCATCATAAATATGATCCAATTGCCAAGCTTCTTAGTTTTGATCATGTGACCGTGGGATTGCTATAGTGGTTTTAAAAGTTTGAAAAATGGTCCCAAGTTCCCTTTTTCTCATTGCCGCTGTAACTTTGAGCGGTAAATGGAGGACTAACTTGTATATATGCAAAGCAGCAAAGTAACAACAATCACCATCATGATCCCGATAAGAAGGGGTAGTAGAGAGGGTAATAGTAATAATACTGCAGCTTTGCAACGTGGCTAAATACACGGGCTGTCTTTGACTTGCAACGGGATGCGAAAAGTGTGAAAAATGGCCTTAAGTCCCCTTTTTTCCAGTGCCGTTGCAACTTTGGACGGTCACTAAATGAACTATTGCAAGTCGAGGACTCTCTGTAATATAAATCGTAAGCTAGAAGCAACAAAGCGGCAGTCGTAAGAAGAGAAGGAAATAGGCCATAGGAAGGAGGAAAAGGACAATAGTAACACATCCCTAGTAGGTAGTTTCTCAGTGTTGTGGGAATGAGTTGTTCAGCAGAGTGATGGCACGGGGGTGGAAAAACTGTCTTTGTGTCTTAGTTTTTTCGACGTGCGATGCCCTATCGCCGTGATGGCGAACCTGTGGCACGCGGAGCCATTTCTGCGGGTACGCGAGCCATCGCCCTAAATCAGCCCTACCGCGCATGCACCTCCTGCTGGCCAGATGGTTTTTGGGTCTCTGCCACGCCTGCGGGAGACACGTGTGCATGCACATGCCACTCCGCCACTCCCAGGAGTCTCCACGCGGCCTGTTTTGGATGCCAGGTAAATACAGGGTTTGTGTGGAGGCTCCGGGAGGGCAAAAAACAGGCCTAATCGGAAGCCTGGAAACGGGCCATTTTCAGTCTCTGGAGGGCCTCTGGAGGGCCAGGGGAGGCAGTTTTCACCCTCCGAGAGGCTCCAAGAGAGCCTGTGGAGGGCGAAAAATGGGCCTATCGGAAGTACCAGAAATGGACTGTTTCCGGTCTCTGGAGGGCCGGGGGAGACCGCTTTCGCCCTCCGGGAGGCTCCACAAAAACCTCTGGAGTCTATGGAGGGCGAAAAATGGACCTCCCGGAAGTACCAGAAATGGGCTGTTTCCGGCCTCTGGAGGGCCTCCGGAGGGCCAGGGGAGGCCGTTTTCGCCCTCCTGGAGGCTCCAGGAAAGCCTCCAGAGTCTGTGGAGGGCGAAAAACAGGCCTACCGGAAGTCCAAAAATTTTCAGGGAGTTTCAGGGAGGCCTGCTAGGCCCAAAACAGGGGATGTCGTGCGCCCGTGGGGGGGGGGGGGGGGGAGGGGGAGAGCATAGGGATTTGCGAGCGCCTGCGCAGATGGGCTGCATGCGCCTGCGCAGACGGGCAAGGCAGCATGGGGGCATTGCATTATGGGTGTGGGCACAGGCACACGCTTTTGGCACCTGAGGGAAAAAAAAGGTCAGCCATCACTGCCCTATTGCGTCATCTCGAGGGAAGACGTAACGTTTTCTGTCCAGGATGTGAGAGGTCTGTCGATATTTTTCACAGCCTTCTTTCTGACCCACAGAATATACAGGTCCTCAAATGGAAGGCAGGCTGGCTGCAATGGTTGTTGTTTTTTTCCTGTGGTTCTAACTATTCGTTGGACTCTGGCGTCTGTCTTTGTTTGGTTGCTGTGCCAAACCAAAGAGTTATCGGGGTGCAAAATGGCAGACTTAATCATTCCCCTGTACAACGACAGATGTGGAGACTCTAGAAAAGATTGCAGAGAAGAGCAACGAAGATGATTAGGGGCCCGGAGGCTAAAACATATGACGAACGGTTGCAGGAACTGATTACGTCGATTTTTGATGAAAAGGATTAGGGGAGACATGATAGCAGTCTTCCAATATCTGAGGGGCTGCCACAAAGAAGAAGGAGTCAAGCTATTCTCCAAAGCACTTGAGGGCAGGATAAGAAGCAATGGGTGGAAACTGATCAAGGAGAGAAGCAATCTAAAATGAAGGAGAAATTTCCTGATGGTGAGAATAGTTAACCAGTGGAACAGCTTGCCACCAGAAGTTGTGGCTTCTCCATCACTGGAGGGTTTTTAAGAAAAGACTGGACAGCCATTAGTCTGAAATGGACTAGGTTTCCTGCCTGAGCAGGGGGTTGGACTAGAAGACCTCCAAGGTCCCTTCCAACTCTGTTAATCTATTCTATTCTATTCTATTCTATTCTATTCTATATTCTATTCTGAATTCTATTTTGTTCTGTTCCGTTCTATTCTAATATTCCATTCCATTCCACTCCATTCCATATTTTCTGTTCTGTTCTGTTCTGTTCTGTTCTGTTCTGTTCTGTTCTATTCTATTCTTTCGAAGGGACCATTTATGAAGCTTCTTTTACCAGCCAAATGATCCCCCCACCCCGCAGCGCCGACATCCAGCAGCCACACCCCCATCCCCCCAAATAACAGCGGTGCCAATTGTCACCTATTTTCAAAGAGGAATTAAGGGAAAACAGGTGGGTTAAGCCCCCTTCTTGGCTGTAAGGTAAAGGTAAAGGTTCCCCTCGCACATATGTGCTAGTCGTTCCCGACTCTAGGGGGCGGTGCTCATCTCTGTTTCAAAGCTGAAAAGCCGGCGCTGTCCGAAGAAGTCTCCGTGGTCGTGTGGCCGGCATGACTCAACGCAAAAGGCGCAAAAGCCAAAGGCGCACAGAACGCTGAGGAACGGGAGCTCACCCCGTGACGCGGCGCTCGGGATTCGAACCGCTGAACTGCCGACCTTTCGATCGACAAGCTCCAGCGTCTTAGCCACTGAGCCACCGCGTCCCTACTTCTTGGCTGTAGAAAAGCACAAAAGGAAGAATGAAAAAGAAAAAAAAAAATCAGGAATCGCTCGACGGCTGATTCCCAAATTTGGCCAGAACAACATTTATTCAAAAATGGGGAGCCCCCACCCACCCCGCCCGTTCCTGCCGATCACCTCGCCCATTGGCCCCTTCTACTTCCATCTTCAGTGGCACATGGGACTCTAGTCTGGCTGAACTTTCCCGTCCCACCTGTGCTCCTGCCATTTACCTGCCTGACCCGAGAAAGATGCTCTTCTGGTTTCCGGCTTTCCTCTTCGTCCGATTCTTCCCTCTTGCGCGAGATGACGCAACTTTTGCCTGGCGAAAGAACAAAACGTTCGTTTATTATTATTATTTTTTTAATATAAAATTGATTGGCCGCTCATCTTACCACGGGGTAACTTTGAGGAGGGGGAGGGGCTTACACTCATAAAATACCGGTAGTCCTCGACTTGCGACCACAGTGGTCGCTAAGGGAACTGTTGTAAGTCGAGGACTTCTTTGTACCTGACAGGTAGGCCTCGCCTTACGGACCAGGATCGATCCCAAGATTTTGGTGGCCGAGTGAGACCTTTGTTAATTGATGGCTTTTCTCGCCACGGTCATTATGAAGAGAATCGCTGTGGTCGATGAGTTCGTAACTCAGGTCGCTAAGCGAAACAGGCTTCCCTGTCAACCGTGCTTTTGTCAGAAGGTCGCAAAAGGGGATCAATTACACGATCCCGGGACGCTGCCGCCGTCATAACTGTGAGCCGGTTGCCAAAGAACTGAATTTTAAACACATGAGGGGATTTTGATCACGTGAGGGGATCAGAAAAATTATTTCGGTACAGGCAGTGCTCGGTTTAGAACAGTTTGCTTAGTGACCGTTCAAAGTTATAACGGCACTGAAAAAACGTCTCTCATCGCCATTTTTCACTTAACAACCAGGTTACTAAATTTAATCAGCTGTAGCAGTTCACTTAAGGCACGAATGTTCGTAAAATGGGGGCAAAACACAATAATTGCTTCACTTAATAACACAAATTTTGGGCTCAATTGTGGTCGTAAAATCAAGAACAGAGGGGGGGCTTCCGTGCTCTCTGAGCTTGCTGGTTTCCTTGCAGACATTTCATGACCCAACTAGGGAACATCATCAGTCCTAGAAGGGAAGGAGGTTTGTGGAGTGAAAGGGGAGGAGGAGAAGGAGGAATGAGGAGAATGAGAAGAGAAAAAGAAAGTGGAAGAAGTTGGAGGAGGAGAAAGAAGGAAGGAAGAGGAGGAGAACGAGGAGGAGAAGGAGGAAGAGTGTGGGGGCCTTGGTGCTCTGTGAGATTGGTGGTTTTCTTGCAAACATTTTATTACCCAACTAGGGAACGTCATCAGTGCTAAAAGGAAGGGAGGTTTGTGGAGGAGGAGGAGGAGGAGGAGATTATGGAGTCCTCTGAGCTTGATTGTTTTCTTGGCAGACGTTTCCTGACCCAACTAGGTAACAGCATCAGTGCTAGCTAAGGACTACATATATTGTATTTTTTTTTAAAAAAGGCGACACAATAAAAAACTGCAGAGAAGAAAACCCTGCTCAAAACAGGAAGAAGAGCCGAATCAAGAGAACAGGCGACCAACTTCTCCCTGCCACTTTATATATATTTTTGCCTATTTCTTTCTCCTTCCTTCCTTCTCAGTCTGTTTTTCTCTCAACCACTGATCATCGATTTTTGGAGAAGCTTTTTGGGCTCTTGTGTTTTTAAACTGGCTGTACACCGCCCTGAGTCCTTCGGGAGAAGGGCGGTATAGAAATAAATAAATAGAAATAAAATTATTATTATTATTATTATTATTATTGTTGTTGTTGTTGTTGTTGTTGTTGTTGTTATTATTATTATTATTATTATTATTTTGGGAGAAGCAATTTCTCAGTGGCATCTTCAAGATTTTCTGGATCATGATAATCATCCCCCAAATTCTCACGTCCTTTGATTTCCCTGGTTTAATTGATCCAGGATCACTGCTTATTAGATTAAACCCTTGCAAATATTGCCAATGTTTTTTTCTCTTTCCTTATGAGAGGACCCGATGGCTTCGGATCAAGGACAGGTGGTCCTCGACTTATAATGGTTTGTCTAGCCTGATGAAAAGAAGGACTTAGGGGAGACGTGATAGCCGTGTTCAGATATCTCAGGGGCTGCCCCAAAGAAGAGGGAGTCAAGCTATTCTCCAAAGCACCTGAGGGCAGGACAAGAAGCAATGGGTGGAAATTAATCAAGGAGAGAAGCAACTTAGAACTAAGGAGAAATTTCCTGACAGTTAGAACAATTAACCAGTGGAACAACTTGCCACCAGAAGTTGCGAATGCTCCAACACTGGAAGTTTTTAAGATGATGTTGGATTTGTCTGAAGTGGCGTAGGGTTTCCTGCCTAAGCAGGGGGTTGGACTAGAACAGTGATGGCTAACCTTTTTGCAGTTGCATGCCAAAAGTGGGGGGAGCATGGGGGAGGGTTGCGCGCATGTGTGTGCAATGTGCCCCCACCCCCCATGATCCCCCCCCCGCTTTTGGCACGTCATGGCACAGTGGCCAGCCTGTAGCCTGTTTTTCGCCCTCCCCAGGCTCCAGAGCCTTTCTTGGAGCCTGGGGAGGGCTAAAACAGCCTTCCCCACCCCCTGGAGGCCTTCCGGAGGCCGGAAATGGCCACTTTCCTAACGTCCAGTGGGACTGGAAGGCCCAAAAGTCAGCTGGTCAACATGTGCATGCGTGCTGGAGCTGAGGTAGGGCAACACTGCGTGCGTGCCCACAGATATGGCTTTGTGTGCTACCTGTGGCACGCGTGCCATAGATTCGCCATCACGGGACTAGAAGATCTCCAAGGTCTCCCTTCCAACTCTGTTATCCAAAAATCCAAAAAGTCCAGTTGCCTCTTGAAAAAAACACCTTTTGAGTCAAGCTTTACTGTCATTTTTTTTTTTAATCATGGACACACTGTCCCACATTAAGAAAGAAATTCTGTTGTCACTGTCAAAAGTGTACATGTACGTAACACGCATACAGGTAATCCTCGGTTTACAAACAGTTCATTTGAACTATTCAAAGTTACCACGGCACCGGGGAAAAAAAAATGTGATTTAGGGCCGTTTTTCAGCGTTACGGCCTTTGCAGCGTCCCCACAATTGCAGGATTGAAATTCAGATGCTTGGCAACGGGTTCATACTCATGACCGCCGCTGTCAATGGGGAGGACGGGTTCACTGAAGGTTACGACCTTATCAACTGCAATGCTTCACTTTAACGATGGCGGCGAGAACAGCCGTAAAATGGGCAAAACTCACTTAACAAATGTCTCACTTGAGACAATCAAAGAGTTTGGGCTCAGTTGTGGTCATAAGTCGAGGACTGCCTGTATATACATATTATACATACATACATATAGGGAGACAGAGATAGAAAGAGAGACAGAGACAGAGAGAGACAGAGAAGAAAGACAGAAACAGAGAGATACAGAGAAAGACAGAAGAGACACACAGAGAGAGAGACAGAAAGAAAAAGAGTCAGAGAGAAAGAGACACAGAGAGAGGGAGACAGAGACAGAAACAGACACAAGAGAGAGAGACAGAAAGACACATACAGAGGGAGAGAGAGACAGAGAGTGGCAGAGTCAGAGAAAAAGAGGCAGAGAGACAGAGACAGAGAGGCAGAGGCAGACAAAGACACATACAGAGAGACAGACAGAAAGAGACAGAGAAACAGAGAAAGAGACACAGAAACAGAGAGAGAGACACAGAGAAAGAAAGTCAGAGAGAGACAGATACACACAGAGAGAAAGAGACAGACAAAAACAGAGAGACAGACAGAGACAGAGAGACAGAAACAGACACACAGAGACAGAGACAGATGCAGAGATACAGACACACAGAGACAGACAGACAGAAAAAGAGACACAGAGAGAGAGGGAGGGAGGGAGAAAGAAAGAAAGGGAGAGACAGAGACACAGAAAGATACAAAGAAAGAGAGACATAGAAAGACACAGAGAGGCAGAGAGAGAGAGACAGAAAGACACATACAGAGGGAGAGAGAGACAAAGAGTGGCAGAGGCAGAGAGACAGAGAGAGAGGCAGAGGCAGACAAAGACACATACAGAGAGACAGACAGAAAGAAACAGAGAGAAACAGAGAAAGAGACACAGAAACAGAGAGAGAGACACGGAGAAAGAAAGTCAGAGAGAGACAGAGAGAGAGGGAGAGACACACACAGAGAGAAAGAGACAGAAACAGACACACAGAGAGACAGAGACAGATGCAGAGAGACAGACACACAGAGACAGACAGAAAAAGAGACAACAGAGAGAGAGAGGGAGGGAGAAAGAAAGAGGGAGAGACAGAGACACAGAAAGAAACAGAGAAAGAGAGACATAGAAAGACACAGAGGCAGAGAGACAGAAAGAACGAGATACACAGAGACAGAAAAAGACACACAGAGAGAGAGAGGGAGGGAGAAAGAAAGAGGGACAGAGACACAGAAAGAAACAGAGAGAGACATAGAAAGACACAGAGATGCAGAGAGACAGAAAGAACGAGAGATACACAGAGACAGAGAGACACAAAAAGAGAGAGACATATATAGACCTATACAGACACAGACATACATACATACATATTATATACCTACACCCATACCTATAAATACCTATAAATGTTAAATCACTGTCCATCTTGAATACATAGAGGGAAGAGGAAGCTGGAGTCACAGAGAGTTGGGCGGCCACATACATTTTCTTAATAAATAACCTCTCAGCTTAAGGATGATCCTCGTCAGCCGTTTTAAAGCTAACACAGGATTTGCAACATAGCGAGGACGTTATCCTTCCGGCTCTCCAACACGGTTGTTTTTAAAGTGGATTTTGGCATTCCCCCCGTTGTCTTTGCTTGTTGGGAGTCGGCTGGGGAGAGTCGATCAGGGGACGACAGGATGTTGCAACCGTCATAAACACAGGAAGGGTTGCCAAGGGCCCGAATTTTTATCACGTGATCCTGGGGATGTTGTAAGTGGTTGTTAAGCGTGAAGGCCATTGGCAAAGTCGCCTTTTTCAGGGCCGTTGTAACTTTGAATGGTTTTGACCTCCCTTACTCCACAGAAACTTTCTCAGTGGCTTTCGGTCAGTCCCTTCCCTTAGCCCAGGGATCAGCAACCTGCGGCTCTGGAGCCGCATGTGGCTCTTTCACCCCTCTGCTGCGGCTCCCGGTCACTCAAAATATGCGTCACAGCCGCCAGTGTGCGACACCCGCCGGCACATGATTTATTGAGCTTTTCAACCCCTGGTAGGCCAACCATGGATAAATCCAAGAAAAGTTTCAGAAGAAAACAGAATCTTTAATTCAACTATAAATATGCTAGTTTTGTGGCCGTTGAAAAAATAAGTCAGACACGGGAAGGGTTTTGTGGCTCCCGGTTTTTTCTTTTCTGTGGGAAACGGGTCCAAATGGTTCTTTGAGCGTTTAAGGTCGCAGACCCCTGTTTTAGCCCAATCTAACAAAAAAGGAAAGAAAAGAAAAAAAAGAAAAAGAGGAAAAAAGAGAAAGAGGAAGAAAAGAGGAAGGAAAAGGAAAGGAACAAAGAGACAGTTTGGTCTAGTGGTTAAGGCAACAGGCTGGGAAGCAAGTTTTTATTCTTTTTTAGGCCTGAAAGCTGGCTGGGTGTCTTCGGGCCAATCACCAGGAGAGTGGGAGTTCTAGTCCCGCCTTAGGCATGAAAACAGGCTGGGTGACTTTGGGCCAATCGACAAGAGAGTGGGAGTTCTAGTCCCGCCTTAGGCATGAAAACAGGCTGGGTGACTTTGGGCCAATCGCCAAGAGAGTGGGAGTTCTAGTCCCGCCTTAGGCATGAAAACAGGCTGGGTGACTTTGGGCCAATCGACAAGAGAGTGGGAGTTCTAGTCCCGTTCTAGTCCCGCCTTAGGCATGAAACAGGCTGGGTGACTTTGGGCCAATCGACAAGAGAGTGGGAGTTCTAGTCCCGCCTTAGGCATGAAAACAGGCTGGGTGACTTTGGGCCAATCGCCAAGAGAGTGGGAGTTCTAGTCCCGCCTTAGGCTGGGTGACTTTGGGCCAATTGACAAGAGAGTGGGAGTTCTAGTCCCGCCTTAGGCATGAAAGCAGGCTGTGTGAGTTTGGGCCAATCGCCAAGAGAGTGGGAGTTCTAGTCCCGCCTTAGGCTGGGTGAGTTTGGGTCAATCACCAAGAGAGTGGGAGTTCTAGTCCCGCCTCAGGCATGAAAGCAGGCTGGATGACTTTGGGCCAATCGTCAAGAGAGTGGGAGTTCTAGTCCCGCCTTAGGCTGGGTGACTTTGGGCCAATTGACAAGAGAGTGGGAGTTCTAGTCCCGCCTTAGGCATGAAAGCAGGCTGTGTGAGTTTGGGTCAATCGCCAAGAGAGTGGGAGTTCTAGTCCCGCCTCAGGCATGAAAGTAGGCTGGGTGAGTTTGGGCCAATCACCAAGAGAGTGGGAGTTCTAGTCCCGCCTCAGGCATGAAAGCAGGCTGGATGACTTTGAGCCAATCATCAAGAGAGTGGGAGTTCTAGTCCCGCCTTAGGCTGGGTGACTTTGGGCCAATTGACAAGAGAGTGGGAGTTCTAGTCCCGCCTTAGGCATGAAAACAGGCTGGGTGAGTTTGGGCCAATCACCAGGAGAGTGGGAGTTCTAGTCCCACCTCAGGCATGAAAACAGGCTGGGTGAGTTTGGGCCAATCACCAGGAGAGTGGGAGTTCTAGTTCCGCCTTAGGCTGGGTGACTTTGGGCCAACTGACAAGAGAGTGGGAGTTCTAGTCCTGCCTTAGGCATGAAAAACGGCTGGGTGACTTTGGGCTAATCACCAGGAGAGTGGGAGTTCTAGTCCCGCCTTAGGCATGAAAGCAGGCTGGGTGAGTTTGGGCCAATCGCCAAGAGAGTGGGAGTTCTAGTCCCGCCTCAGGCATGAAAGCAGGCTAGATGACTTTGGGCCATTCGACAAGAGAGTGGGAGTTCTAGTCCCACTTTAGGCATGAAAGTAGGCTGGATGACTTGGGGCCAATCGCCAAGAGAGTGGGAGTTCTAGTCCCACTTTAGGCATGAAAGTAGGCTGGATGACTTGGGGCCAATCACCAGGAGAGTGGGGATTCTAGTCCCGCGCCTTAGACATCAAAACCAGCTGGGTGTCTTTGACCCAGTCCCTCTCTCACAGCCCCAGCCCACTTCACAGCAACGTTGTTGCGAGGAAAAAGGGAGGAGGAAGCTTTGTCAGATATGCTGGGCCGCCACCTTATTGGTAAAAAAATAAGAAAGGGGGGGGGAATACAAATCGATTGATCCATGAAATATAATATTGTCCGTTTGTTGCAAGGTTCATTTTTTTTTTGCACGCTCGTCGGGAAGAGGAGGGAGGACACGGGAGAAACTCGTGAACTTACTTTCTAGATCGGCGGCCTCCCGGGCTTCCCGTTCCAGACGCTGCCTCAGCAGCTCCTGCTGTTTTTCCAGGTATTGCTTGATGATGCTATTTTGGCTCATCTCCTCTCCGATCTGGGTGGACGCGGGAGAGAAAACAGGCAAGTCAGAAGGAGCCGGAGACCCTGCCTTTCAATCCAACCCTCAGGAAGCGGGTTCTCGACCTCGAGCAGCCGGTTAAGCCCGAACCTTAAAACATTTTAAAGACGGGCGGACTTCAATATTCCGGGAGTGGAAGTCCACGCGTTTTAAAATGCCCATGGAAGAGCGTATTTTGTAGCTCGGGGTTGACATGAGGGGGTGCTTGGTTGCTCTCGGAGATTGGCGGTTTCCTTGCAGACGTTTATTTATTTATTATTTATTAATTCAATTTGTACGCCGCCCTTCTCCGAAGACTCAGGGCGGCTCACAATTTATTTATTTTTATTTATTTATTTAATTACATTTCTTTTTCTTTTTTTTTAACAAAACTTTATTCATTCTCAAAAACATTTAAAACATACAAGTTTCTCTTAGTCAAGAAACAAATTTACATATACAGTACACAACTTCACCTACTAACTAATTTCTATTTTATATGTATATAATATATAATATATAGTATATTAGTATATAATATATACATATTATACAAACATACAGTGACATATTTCATTTTCTATCCTTCTGACAGTGCAGTTTTTAATTATATTAATTTCTTCTAAATTTCATCTCTACCCATTTCCCCTCCTCTGATTTATCCGCTGGTACCATCTATTCCATATTGTAAAATATTTTGAGTCCTCCTTGTCCTGTTAACTCTAAAGTTAATTTGTCCATTTCTGCGCATGTGTATATCTTTTGTATTGGCAATCGATCTATTTTCCAAAGTTGTGCTCCCGCTAATCTAGCCGCCGTAATTATGTGAAGTATTAAATATTTTATATCATTTCTAATGTTCTTTTTAATCATGCCTAATAAAAAAATTTCGGGTTCTAATTCTATTTCGTAATCTGTTATTTCCGCTATCCATGTTTTTATCTTGTTCCAATATTTCTTAATTTCTGGGCAGAGCCACCAAGCGTGGTAAAAAGTTCCCTGTGCTTTTTTGCATTTTAATTACATTTCTATACCGCCCTTCTCCCGAAGGACTCAGGGCGGTGTACAGCCATATTAAAACAAACCCATCACAAAAATTAAAAACCGTTAAAATAATTAAAACCTTGATAGTACAGTGGTTTAGTGCACCCTGTTATTAACACAGCTGCCTGCAATTTCTGCTGGTTCGAATCTCTCCAAGGCTCAAGGTTGACTCAGCCTTCCATCCTTTCTAAGGTAGGTGAAATGAGGACCCAGTTTGTGGGGGCAATAAGCTGACTTTGTATAAAATATACAAAAGTATGAAGGCTATTGCTTAACGCATTGTAAGCCGCCCTGAGTCTCCGGAGAAGGGCGGCATATAAATCAAATTAAAAAAAAAAAAATATTAGCCATTTTTTTTTAAAAAAACAACCCTTAACTAAAACCCCTTTAAAACCAATTTAAAACCCATTAACATTAATTTATTCAGTCAGGCTGGCTTGATTGAACAATAGAGTCTTCAGAGCACGACGGAAGGCGCGGAGGTTGGGGATCCTTCTTATATCCAATATATCCAATGCATTTAAAACAGGGTGGATTTGATTTAAATCGAGTTGATTTAAATCAGAATTTAAATCATGATTTAAATCACTAGTAAAAAGGCTTGATTTAAATCAACGTGATTTAAATCATAATTTTTAAAGAGCAACTGTCATCTCTGCTACTCCTTTGACCCACTGTTGACTCACCGATAGTCCCAGGGTTGCAGAATACACAGCCTCATGCTACATAACTAAGCTCCGTTTCATGCTGAATAAACTAAATTATTGATGTATCTTAAATAGAAAACTATCTTACGAGAGATTTTTACCCCCAAAGTTTTTTATTAAAATAAATTCGATAAAAATCAAAAAAATCCGATTTAAATCAAAAAAATCTGATTTTTTTTTTGATTTTTTAAAAAAAAATCATTGATTTTTATCCACCCTGATTTAAAATCATTATAAAAAACATTTAAAAATTAAAAACAATTAAAACCTATTCGCACCATTCATGGCCGGATCTCGCCAGATCGCAAGAGCGAGATCAACGGCCCCAGGCCTGCCGGAAAAGCCAGGTCTTCACCGCTTTGTAATGCTCTCTACATGGGGCTCCCCTTGAGGAGCACCCGGAGGCTCCAACTGGCGCAGAGTGCGGCCGCGCGGGTGGTAATGGGAGCGACATGGCGCTCCCATGTGACACCTCTCCTGCGCGAGCTGCACTGGCTCCCGGTGGTCTTCCGGGTTTTGGTTACCACCTTTAAAGCGCTCCATGGCTTAGGGCCTGGTTATTTACGGGACCGCCTACTACCACCAATAGCCTCCCACCGGCCAGTACGCTCTCATAGAGAGGGACTCCTCCGGGTGCCGTCAGCCAAACAGTGTCGACTGGCGGCCCCTAGGGGGAGAGCCTTCTCTGTGGGGGCACCTACCATCTGGAATGAGCTCCCCCCGGAGATACGGAGGATCCCGGATCTGCGCTCCTTCCGCCGTGCTGTGAAGACCTTTTTATTCCATCAAGCGGGCTTGGCCTAATCTCTTCCCTTTTTAAATATGTAAATTTTAATCTGTTTTTAAATAATTGGGGTATTTTAATTTGTCTGGGCCAAATAATTTAATTTGATTTTATCGGGTTTTTAAATTTTGTGTATTTATGTATTTTATTGTTGGCTGCTCACCGCCCTGAGTCCTTCGGGAGTAGGGCGGTATACAAATCAAATAAACTAAACTAAACTAAACTAAACTTTCCGGAAGGCCAATAGGGTAGGGGTAGTCCGGATCTCAGGAGGTAACTGGTTCCAGAGAGCCGGGGCAGCCACAGAGAAGGCCCTCCCCTGAGGGCCCACCAGCCGACAGATATCGGATCTCCGGGCCTTTCGCCGTGCCCTAAAAACTTTTCTTTTCCATCAAGCAGGGCTGGCGTGAAACCCCTCCCCCTCTTTTTTAGTCTTTTTTAGTTTTTTAGCTTTTTAAATTGTCAATGGGTTTTAGTTTGAATTGTTTTAAATTTGGGGCAAAGTCATGTAATTCTTTTAATAATTTTAAATTTTGTATTGGTATGTGTTTTAGTTCTGGCTGTGCACCGCCCTGAGTCCACTAGGAGAAGGGCGGTATACAAATTGAATAAAATAAAATAAAATAATAAAATAATAAAATAAAATAAAATAAAAAAAAAATAATAAAATAAAATAAAAAAGTAAAGTAAAGTAAAGTAAAGTAAAAATAAAGTAAAAGTAAAGTAAAAGTAAAGTAAAAGTAAAGTAAAATATAAAATAAAAAAAATAAAATAATAAAATAAAATAAAATAAAATAAAATAAAATAAAATAATAAAATAAAATAAAAAAGTAAAGTAAAGTAAAGTAAAGTAAAAATAAAGTAAAAGTAAAGTAAAAGTAAAGTAAAAGTAAAGTAAAATATAAAATAAAAAAAATAAAATAATAAAATAAAATAAAATAAAATAAAATAAAATAAAATAATAAAATAAAATAAAGTAAAATAAAATAAAATAATAAAATAAAATAAAATAAAATAAAATAAAATAAAATAAAATAAAATTGTTTAGCTGACGGGACCCGGAGGAGACCAACTCTGTGGGATCTTACCAGTCGCTGGGAGCTCTGCGGTGGAAGGCAGTCTCGAAGATACACTGGCCCTGAGCTATGTAGGGCTTTAAAGGTAATAACCAACACCTTGAATTGTGCCCGGAGACCGATAGGGAGCCAGTGCAGCTCGTGGAGAATTGATGTAATGTGGGTGTACCGAGATGCACCCACTACAGCTCTCGCAGCTGCGTTCTGGACCAACTGTAGTCTCCGAACACTTTTCAAGGGTAGCCCCATGTAGAGCGCGTTGCGATAATCTAACCGTGAGGTGACAAGGGCATGAGTGACTGTGAGGAGAGCCTCCTGATCCAAGTAGGGTCGCAATTGGTGCACCAGGCGAACCTGTGCAAACTAGGTAACATTATCAGTGCAAGAAAGGGAGGGGGGCTTGAGAGGAGGAGGAGGAGGAGGAGGAGGAAGAGGAGGAGAAAGGGATCCGTGGTGCTCTCCGAGCCTGATGGTTTTGTCGCAGACATTTTATTACCAAACTAGGTAACATTATCAGTGCGAGAAAGGGAGGGGGGCTTGAGAGGAGGAGGGAGGAGGAGGAGGAGGGAGGAGGAGGAGGAGGGGGGAGAAGGAGGGAGGAGGAAGGAGGTGAGTGGCTTCTTCGGTGCTTCTCTGAGATTAGTGGTTTTCTTGCAAACGTTTCATGACCCAACTAGGGAACATTATCAGGGCAAGAAGGGAGGGAGGCTTGAGAGGAGGAGGAGGAGGAGGAGGAGGAGGAGGAGGAGGAGGAGGTGGGATCCTTGGTTGCTCTTTTGAGGTTGGTGGTTTTCTCGCAGGCATTTCATGACCCAACTAGGTAACATCATCAGTCTAGAAGGGAGGACATTTGGAGGAGTGGAGGAAGACCGTAGAGTCCTTGGTGCTCTCTCGGCTTGGTTAATTTCTCGCAGACCTTTCATGACCCAACTAGGTAACCTCATCAGTGCTAGAAGGGAGTGGGATTTGCTTATCATTTATATGCTAACTAGTGGCTTGTCCTGGCAGTCAAACCACTAGCATATAAACAGACAAGAGAAGGAGGAGTGCAATGGGTTCCTTGGTGATCTCTTGAGCTTGGCTGTTTTCTTGCAGACGTCTCATGACCCAACTAGATAACATCATCAGTACAAGGAGGGAGTGGGGTTTATCCTTTGTTAATACATGAATGGCTTACTTTGTAAGTGTTGCTGGGCATGTTCTTGGCCAGTGATGTCTAACTTTTTTGCCGTCGTGTGCCAAAAGTGCGGGGAGCGTGGGGAGGTCACACATGCCCGTGCCCACGCCCGTTATTCAATGCCCCCGTGCCCCCCCCCCCGCGCATGCACGCGTCAATCCCCGTGCTCCCTCTTTTGGCACGCAATGGCAAAAAGGTTAGTGCTGGGC